TAGCATGCACCAAATGTAAATTTGAACACTTGATCTTTCTACATATGACACTCTGAAGTGTTATGTCCCATTGGATTAATTTTTAACATTTCAATTCCAATTCATTATTCTTCAAAAATTTGTAATAACTGGTATTGCAATATATGCATATTACTAATACTAGTGAAAACACCATCAAACTTGTCTTAATCCTCAGGACACTACAAGATATTAGCATTTTCAGCAAAATGAAAAATGTACAAACTTCAAATATCGCACCAAAATATCCTTAGATGAACAAACCCCCCAAATTCATCAACTGATAGTACAAAAAACAAACAAACAAACAAACAAACAAAAACAAAACAAAACAAAAACACCTGCATTTGATGGGAGAAACCTTAAAACATCCAAGCAAGCTCATTTTCTTACCACCTCATGATAAATAAAATATAAGGATGCGGAAAGCAAGAACTCCACCTCCCATGCAGGAGACAGAGGTGAGCAACTCATGCTGGAGGAGTGAAGACATTTGAATAGTGAAACAGCGCTCACTTTTCAAAACCTGACCATGCTCCTGCTGTGTTGCCAGCTGCTACATCCAGACACCAAGGAAAAATCCAACTCACTGTGCATGTGTGGCAGCTTCATTATAACAAGCACAGCCAAGCGTGATGCTGTTTTGTTTTTTACATTAACAGAATAGTATTATCAGGAACATCAGTCTCTTTAGCACTACAATATCTGCTGCTGTTCAGTAGAGATACTTCACCCCTGGACAGCCCATCCGTTCACTTTCTGCACATTGTGACCAAGAGAAGTCCTTTAAGGTAAGTGCAAAAAGTCAAAAATAAAAGCATCCTGACTACATTTAATCTGTGAGAGCCAGAAATATTCATAAAACTATAATATAAAAATATTATAAAACCCACTATTCATGTAGCACATGCTATAGCTGAAATCTGTAGCTTCTGTCATCTTCCCAGACAGCAGTAACATAAGGTGTGTTGCTACAGAAATTGACCCTGCAGCTTGGAGATTGGTGTTTTGACCCAAAAGTATCCTGGAAAACCAGTATTTTATTATTGTTTCCGTAGGTTTTGAGTCAGAATCTGTTTAAGGTAACTTACCCTCTGGTTATTGCTGGGCTGTCTTCTGAAAATGTCCTCCAGCTACTTGTCTGGCAAGGATGTAATTTACAGAGCTGTCATCCCAATAGTGCTCACTGCGTTATGCTTTCTAGAAAGAAAGCTCCAAGCTATTTCCAGGCTTGCACTTCATGTGTTTTATTATTGAGGAATCCTTGGATTCTTCCACTTTCGAAGCATTAGAAAGGTAATTAGATCTGAATACTACGCATTATCCATGTATCCATACTTAAAACACAGAGATAAGCTACTGACGTAAATCGCACAGAAGGGTGCACAGAGGTGTATGCACAGAGGTGTAGCATACTTGCTATTTTAGAAGGAAGGAGAAAGAGTGAAATGAAAACCCGTTTCTGCTGTTTCTCTGCTTTCTAAGACCACAAGCAGAGGTTTCTTAGTAGGGCACAAAGAGCCCAGAGGGAATCCCAACAGAGCCCCCACCTCGCCTTACACCCCAGCAGCAGTGCTTTACCCAGAAGATGTGCAAGCTCATGCAGGGCCAGGTCTGCTTTGCCCTGGGTGGTGGTTTGCAGGGAGGTGTCTGTGGGGGCATGGAGAAGGGCACCTCAGTGGCGTCTGGGAGTCAATATAACAGGTAATAATTTCTGTGGACCCAGAGCTATGATCTTTACCACAACTCACAGTTTATATATATATATATATATATATATATAAGTTAAGCAAAAGCTTCCTCTAATGTAACAGGGAGTTTGTCATTGCACTCTGGAGATACCGACAGATGTAATAAACAAATAATTAAATTAAATTAAATTAAAATAAATGTGGACGGGTGCACAACCCATATAATGAGTGCTCTGGGTGATCCTACTCGGCAGGGAGGTTGGATCTAGATGATCTTCAGAGGTCCCTTCCTACCTTGGCCATTCTGTGATTCTGTGGTAAAAAGTGCTTACTGGAGCCATGTAGCTATATTGCCCAGTATCTTGCTTCTAACCATGATCAGTACTGGTTTCAGACCAGGATGCATGTTGTGTGGAGTTTTCAATATTCTCTTAACTTCCAGCAGTCTTTTGGGTCTCTGATACTACTTCTCTCTTGGTAGTCAAAACTTAGTCTTCATATGCTATTCTTAACGTAACTCTGTTATTCTGATACTAGGAAATAGCTGAAATTTTTAATGCAGGACTTCTAGCAAGTACAGTTTTCTCTGGATTTATTTTCTAAGTATGCCCAGGATAACAGCCAAAAAAAGCTAAGAAAGATTTTGAAGGAAGAACTTCATATCTTTCAGGGAAGATGCTGTGCCTTCAGTAAGAATTTTCTAGTGAAATTTGGTGCAATAGGCAACAGCATTACCTTGAACCTCAGGGTATTGCTATGGTATTCTGCAAGTAATACTTTTAAGTGCTAGAAAGTCAAACTACTCAGAGAATGAGTCAAAAATTGATCTGCTGGGAGAAAAGATAGGGGAAAATATTCTTTGTTAACTGCTTTAGGGACTATTAGTTGTGCATGAGCTTACCCAGTCCAGCACTACTTCACTATATAGTCTGACTACTTATTAATGCTAGCACTCTCAGTAGAAAAGATATATGACTCTTCTACCCAAGCAGAAACTGCTCCTGTTTATCAGTGACTGTTGCTCAAGGTTCATCTCTTGCAGATGAACTGTGGCAGAGAAGGGCTGCAGGTGGGGCCAGTACGTACAGGTTCTGAATCCCTGCTTCTGAGACAGGGGAAAAGATGCCTCAGCCACCTGCTAGGAGTGTTTTCACAGTCTTCTTTCATCAATTCATTAATTTATAACTGATATTTATAAACTGATATTTATTTATTTAACTAATTAAAAACAAACAAAAAATTAATGCAATGAATACAAGGCAGACTTTTTTTTTTTTCTTTTTTTTTTTTCTTAAAGTGAAAACCAAGTACAGTGTTAATTAGACAGGTTCGATGGGACAGTGTTGCCAAGTGGAACAATGAAGGAGGCAGTTCCTACTGCAAATGGAGGTGGTGGGACTGCAACTGCTTTGTGAGCAGTTGCATTATTGAACTCCTCACCAGAAGATGCTCTATATTCTCACTTAAAATGGAATAAAAAGGCAGAGTGGAGAAAGTTATAGAAACAAAATGAATTTTACTTTTGCGTCTGGAATATACACCTAGTTTATGGACCCTTAAGATGAAAATGTGTGGTAGACAGAAACCAACTGGGGAAAGAATCGTTTGTGCTTGCTCTTTTTCTACACCCTTGTGAGATTTTGTGATCTTTGTGTGTATAATGGATTTAGAGTTTATAAACACATGGTCTGGCCCCATGCACTCATTCCTGAGTTGAGGACAAGAAATGCTAGACTTCTCCTTACAAACTTAGAGCTGCACATGTAGCAGAAGGTTGCTTTTGCCCTCATCTGACTCTGAACCCACCCTGGTCACAGGTTGGACGTGTTCAAAAACCCAAAAAAAAGGCATCATGTAACAGGAGATTTGTAGCTTGAATAAACATACCTACACAAATATATATGCTAGTGAAAAGAAGATGTATTTATATGATGGATTCAAAATTTACTAGTAATTTTTGGATCATGCAGTAACTGAAAAGATCCAAAAAGGAAACAACTGTTGGCACAGAACAGAAAAACATTCTTTCATAAAAGAAAAAATGCTCTTTTGTGGTTGAGAAACCATTTCCTCAATTTGGTTGAGGTGAGACCCTCACGTAATCCTATCCTTAATACAAGTAGTGTGTTTTTGGTGTTCCCTTAATTCTGTTGAAGACTATCCCAGTACTCAACAAGGCTCATGGGCAGCAGTGGGACTTGGTGCAGCAGGAGCTGTTTCACAGCATGTGAACATCAGACCCAGGGAGAAGCATTGCACAAAGAGCTATTGTTGACCTCAGAAAAATGCCACCAAGTTGTGTACAGCTTTCTTGGTCTCCAGCTAAGAACAATGATGCTTCACAAGTATTTCAGAAGTGAATTATTGACTGTGTTCTTCTCAGGTCCCCGTGCCTGTACAAACTGCAAGAGAGAATGCTCATTGCCTCAGGAAATGGGAAGAGACACAGTGGGGAGGACCTCACTGAGGCAGCCAACACCTGTTGAAAGCTGTGATTTCTAAGTCTGAATAAGTTCCTGATGAACTATTATCTTGGGGATTCAGTAAAAGCCTTTCCCCCGGCCAAAATAAAAGTTGTTCAGCTAACATGCTGTGCTCTGACAAGCCCTCACAACGCCAAGAAAACTGAATGATGAATTTCCCCAAATAAACATGGTAATACCACAAATGATGAAAATAAGTTCTTGGAAGCTTTTGTCTGTGCCTAATATTTCCCACATCAGTTGGGTAGGCCCCAAGTGGTAGCACATAACCTGACAGGGGATGGGTCAAAGGCTTAGTAACCTGCACCTCTCTTTTCTGAAGCAATTTCCTTGTGTTTGCTTGTTTATGCAGTTGGTCATCACTAGCTCAAGATTGTACTTTGTTCCTTTGGACAAAAATATTCATCAAAATGGTAAATTCATTCTTAAATGATCTAAATGATCTATTCATCTGTTCTATTACCTGTTTCCCCTTCATTTCCAAATTCCTTACTTTACAGGCAAATTTCAGCAAATTCAGTCCTATTAGTACACCAATCTTCCTATGAGATGTTAGCTACTTGGCTGTTCTACTACAAACCTTTAAAGCAGAGAAGCAGCCTTTAAATGATTTTTAAGCACAGTCAGTAGAGATGACTACTACTTCTGACAGCATTTTTTTCCCATCAAATTTAATTGTAAACATGCTTTACCAATCTGTTTAGTTTGTATGCTGCACTCTTGGGATACAGAAAGTCGTTAACATGAATTGCTATTATAGTAAACATACGACATTTCCTTCAGTGAAATAAAAACTCAGAGACCAATATTTATTAGTTAACCTTGAAACTTCAAGTTTATTTTTTGCAACTTCAGCACTGGGGAACACAAAGTTCTGGCTGAAGTCATACAAAATATTTTGCATGACTTCTGCAAATACCTTAATATTTTATAGTTGAACAAGTTGCAACACTGCTTCATGCTAAAAGTATAATCTAAGAACATTAATTTATCTGCATTTAAATACTTCTCAATAATAGTGATTTACAATGGCAGAGTTAAAATTAAGATGATAGAAGTTAAATATGGGAAGAATTATGGCCCCAAATTCATGCAGGTAATACCAACTGCATCTTGGTTTGCAAAATTTACCAAACATGAAGTCAGCCAGAAATTCTGCTTAAAGAAAACAGAATTTTATATTCAGATTTCAGTTTTTAAATATGACACAAGTGCCATAGTATTTAAAACATAAGTTTTGCATTAGATGGAGAGCTTGTAGTTAGCCTTCAACAATACTAAACCATGTCTTTTTTATACACATGATACCTTGATATGAACTGAATGTAAGTTGTATGTTTTTACAGAATAAAGTATTTTTAGGTTACAAAGTAGCAGTATGAACATTTCAAGCCTGTTTTAAAACAAAGAAAAAATTCAGCAATATGGCCAATGTTATTTGGAAGGAATTTTAACTCCATTGCACTGTGTAGGTTTGGCCTAATTGAAGTCGAAGATCTGTGATTCTCAGGACCTGTGGAAAAACAAAAATGGTAACTATACATTGAGGGTACAATTTTGCATTGTTTTGTTTTGTGTTGTTTGTTTGTTTGCTTTCTGATTTAACAGAGTGTAGTAGATTTTTTATATATATAAATAATAATTAAAAAATATTCTTTCTTTTGTGTTTGTATCACTGGTTAGTTTAGACAGCAGAGGCTTTCTATTTCTGATCAAGAAGCTATCATCCCTTCATTCAGAAGAACTTTTAGTGCTGAGGAATATATACATAAATGGATATAAGTTTATAAATAAAATGCAGCAAAACTTAGAACAAACTAGAATTCAGCTGTGCATATCAATTTCTTTTTCTTCCACCCAAAATTAATAATAATAATAATAATAAAAAAAAAAAGAAACAGAATGAAATATGTCCATTCTGTTTTACGATCTTACTTTCTTCTTCTAATCTTCTTTTTAATTCATCTGTTTCGTTATATACAAAAGTTAAATACTTTTGGCTTTCCACTGAAAGACAGAAAGTACTGAGACTTAACTCAGTACTGAATTTCTAAGAAAGGGTGGTAAGATGCCAATAGCAAAATAAATTAGACAGTCTCCCTCTACCAGAAAATTGGCAAGACTGGGTGCCTCAGTAGTTCAGTTTGCATTTGAAAGATGCTCCATTGGAATGCTGTCCTGAGTGGTGATACAATTCTACACATTTGTCTCAGTTGGCTTTAGCAGTGCTTGACATATGTAATATGTCAAAAAATGCTCTGGACAGACATGACCCGTGCAGATGGAAAGCCTGGCTCTCTGAAGTTGGTGAGAAGCTTAGCCGATAACTTCAGAGGCATGGAATTGGACTTGTACACATAATGGCCCTGTGCTGCCTTGCCTACAGCTCAAATCTAACTTGTCAGAAGAAGAAATGGCGTTAGAAAACAGACGTAGGAAATGAAAAAGTTGTCAGACAAAACCGACAACAATAGGGTCACATAGAGACTACAGAAACATTTGCTGCTTTTCCTTCCTTCAAATCGCAAGCTGTGAGTAAGCTATTAGGAAGAGTAGAAACCAGCACAAAACAAAACCCAACATTTCTTCACAGTCAGGAGCAGCGTGGTTTCCTCTACAGTAATTTCTGTGCTTAAAAGTTCTACCGCACCTCCTGCACAATATTTACTCTCTATTAAACAGTACTTTCTAAAAGTGACTGTCAGTTAATGGTTATATGTCCTGCTGAACTATCCTTTAAATATGGTATTGGATCCGAGAGCTGAATCCCCAAAGGCTTAAGAAGACATATTCAGCTGTGAAGGTGGCATTATGCCAAAAACAGCGTCTCACCTGGGTGGTGCTGTCGTAGTTCACCTTGTGACTTGACGGAATTGTCCCACCGTTCTGCAATACATCCACGTGCCCAACAGTTGTGCTCAAGCCAAGCACTTTAATTTCAGTAAACATTAAGTTGTTTGGATCATTGTAACCATGATGCACAACTGTGATATCTAAAACATTCTGAAAGGAAAAGGAATGAAATAGGATGCAATCATTACATGGGTAAAAGTCTACTTGAGCCTTTCAATCGCTTTCTTCACTTCTCATGCATTTTAAAGAAAATATGTCTGTATATTTTTATTTATTTTCCAAATGCAAAGGCTTCAGTTTTCTTCACATTGTTAGTCTATCTAGATCCTGGAATCTGCTGCGTCTTTAATTGCTGCATGGACAGACCCTCCCTGCTATCACTGGGACAGCAGTTATGCCTCATATCCCAGCTGCTGTGAGGCCTGATACAGGATTAAACCCAGTGCCCTGTGAGAAACCATCTCCAGTTACAGGATGTGCACCAACATCCGTCCTGCAGCTTTCAGTCTGGGCCAACTCCTTAAAATGAATGTGCACCTCTGTGGAATACCCCCACTGAAATAAACTAGGTTACTCTGATGTATACCAGTACAAAGAATGACAAACAAGTTTGTTCTTCTAGTGTGCACTCATATATGCTGCTAAGATCTCAAAGAAGTTTTTAAAGCAACATTTAGAGACCCACAACAGTCTTCACCCTACTGAATAACAATTACTCTGTCATCCAGAATCAGTCTGAAAGAGGAATATCTAAACTTTGGAAAGGGACAGACTAAAATACGAATAGTTAAAAATATGACGATGATCACTTCAAGTGATTATTCAGAAACTGAATGTTAGCTAGCATTACCTACCTGCTTAGCAGTAAATGATGTTAGCAGATATGCACCGTCTTCATATGCATCTGTTAGAAAGAAAGGATACAATCACATGTGTTTGCTGTTTAGCTGTTCAGTTAAAATATTATAAAACATTCAATTGAAGAAGTGTGTATGTATGTGTATGTACACATGATTATCGTATATGTTGGTGCTTCTTTGAACTCACTGTTGTATATTTTACCAGTTTACCATTGAAGGTACTGCCTTTCTGCTCTACAGCAAACTTACCTACACATCACTGTGTAACATAACAGTTTTCTGCATTATTTGTCATAATCTCAGATAATGGCTTATTGTTATTACAAGGGTAATAGGCTCTGCATAGGAAGGATAAACAGCATGCAAATATCTCGTCTGAAGGCAATTTAGATTTACTAATGCTGAGGAAATTAGTGAAAGTTTCCCACATTTCCTATGGTTATGGCTCCCATAGGTTTGAGGACAAGTCTTTGTTATATTTGCTCCCTTAGGTCCAGGACACCCTTTCTTTGATACCAAAGATTAATTCTACAAATTGTAGCATTCTGTGGTCTCAATCAGTAGAAATCACTTTGTTAATCTGGAGCTTTAACTTTTGTCTCTGAAGGCATGCTCAGGTAAGGGCATGCTCCAGAATTGGGCTTGCTTTGGCCAGTAGTCTGGCATATGCTCAAACACCCCCTACTACACTGAGGACTTCTAAGGCAGAAGCAACCACAAAAGCCTTTTTTCCAAAGTGATGGCTAAGGGTTGCAATTTCTTATAGGTTCATGTTTCCACTTGGACAACAACGTTATTATTAGAACTGCAGACAAAAAGTGGTTAGCTAGCTGCTGAGCATTATTTGCTGCTCATGGACTGCTGTAATTTGTTTCATCTCTTTCCAATTCTTTTCATTGGTTTTTGTTTCTCTGTTTTAATTTGGGCTTTGAATAGTTCCAAAGATGGAGGCTCCACAGCCTCTCTTGGCAGCCTGTTGCAGTGTTCTACCACCCTCACAGCTGGAAAGGTTTTTTAGGATGGTAAGAAAACATTATACGTACCTATGCGAACACCATCATCCCAATAAAGCTGTCCTTCTGCCAACTGAGACTCATTCAAAGCAACAGTAAGTCCCATTGGGTTTTTCCGGCTGTGAAAAACAGAATATGTTTTCCTTAATATCCTCAGCTAATTACATTTTGTCTCTCTCAAGTGTTAGAACTTGTTCTAGAAATACTGTCAGCCATTTGCCTGGTCTCTGATACTCACTTTCTTGGCCCCACAGTATTATATTTAAAGGAGACCGTTAAGAGGAAACTGAAGAAAAAAAGCATCCACAAATCTCAGGTGCTATTATAAATGTATTCTTTAAAGACTGGTAATAATATGATATTATTAATTAATGTGATAATTACAACTAAATTTTAATATTCCAGTTATTCTTATTGTACCTGTAAAAAGTTGTATTAGCAGGTTGTTGCCACGCGAGGATGTAACCGCCTCGAATATGAAGATTGATATGGTCCAAAGGTGCCGGTAGAGTTACTGATTTTCCCCTAACACCAATATTTGTATCCTATTTATGAAAACAAACAAACAAACAAACAAACAAACAAAATGTCTTCTGTTGAATCGATCTCCCTCTACAGTTATTTTAGAATGAAATAATGACAATTTATTTATTTATTTATTTTGCTAGGCAGATTCCTTAAGAATTTTTTCTTAAAATCCTGATGTTAACACAGGAGTAACTACATTATGCTCTACATTTCTCTCTCTACATAAGAGAAACCATAAAGCTATGTATCTAAAAAAGTGTTTACCAACCTCAGGGGAGAACAGCTGAATCAAAGTGACCATTCAGGTGAAATACAAACGTGTGGTTAATGAAGTGATTTTTAATGCCTACTCCTTCTTACTAGTCTTTTCTTACCTTCCATGAAAGGCCAGTGCAGCTAACCCTGTTTGTTTTTCTCCATTCCAGCATTCTTATGCTATATTTGGCTGAGATAGTGTTAATTTTCTTCATAGAAGCTTGCGTGGTGCTAAATGTCAAATTTATGATGGAAATTGTGTTGAAAACACACTGGTGTTTTAGTGGTTGCTGAGCAGTGCTTATACAGAGTCACAGACTTTTCTGCTTCTCATGCTGCACTGCCAGTTTGTAGGCTGTGGAGGGGACACAGCCAAGACAGCTGACACAGACTGACCAAAGGGATATTCCATAGTCATGTTTTGCAATAAAAGGTGGGGGGAAAGAAGGAGACAGGAGTACATAGTTCAAGTATTTATTACAATAAAAGGAACTAAGGATCTTTATAAGAAATCAGCCAAGAAGTTGTTATAATGCCAAGAAATGATAATAAACATAAGTTTGTAAAAAGGAGATAGTGGTTTCACACCTCAGCACACCCTGCTACTATCTGAACAGCATTACAAGGAATACATACAATTTTGAAAATTACTTACTGTGTAGTAATCATACCAGATGGCATCAGGTATGTAAGCATCCACTGTTACAGCATTCTGGAATTAAAGACACGTATTTTAGGGAAGTTAAAGCAAACAGGGAATTTTTAGCTAAAGTAACATTAATACTTTCATATAACTTGGGTGCTTAAGCACATACCGGTTGCATTACAGGGCTGATGAGAATTGCAGGTCCCCAAAGGAATTGTTCGTATATATCCCATGTTGTTCTGTCTGTCACAAACCTGCAAGTTAACAGAATTTTGATTAAACATTGAATGCTGAACTTTTCCAAAATGTTCTTTTAAGACGTTTTCATCGGTAATTCAACCTACTGTTCCTAGTATCTGCTATTTCCTCATCTGTATTTATTCTAGTATTAATAACTGAGACAGGCAACTAAAATGTATCTTTTATTTATCTGTTTCCTTTTAAATAGATCAATTATTGTTTGCCAAGAATTCATAAAGATCCTAATGTGAAAATCATTGCAGGAATGCAGGCTATTACTTAGTTTTCTTTTTTTGCCATTCTTTGACAAATTGAGTTTGGGGATATTTAGACCACAAAACTCAAAAGATCAGTTTTGCTTTGGAGATATCAGCAATACTAAGATTAGGTAGTGGTCAGATTGTGAATCACTTTCTAATTTGTGTCACTTTTTTCTTGGGCAGGTGGTTGAAAAAAATCAAGACAATACATGTAAACAGCTCTATGATCTCTAGCCAAGACAAGTGTACATATACTAGAGCACATCTTATAATAAAAGGATAAAAATAAACTTTGTCCTTCCAGGGACAAAGAAGGCTTTGTACAACTAATAACTTATCTTTTTTATTATTTATTTTTTTTTAATCAATTCTATCAGTCTGGCCAGTAATAAACAAACAAATATATAAATAAAAGATGATTTTCCCTGCAAAATTCTGTCATGACTTGTGGCAGAATTATCTCCCTCTTCTTTGCTTAAAGTTTTTGCAACATCTGCTTTTTAATTCTACATATGTCTAGCATCCAATGGAACATCATTGTTGATTATCCCTAAAGAGGCTACAGGTGAGCTTTAAAATATATACATTAACTCTAGCTAAGCAAATTTTCAGTTTAGCTAAGCAAATTTTCAGTTTTGCATAGCATAAAACAGAGAAATGAGAACTGTTGTTCTCTGTGAAAGTAAAACTTGATATTGAAAGCTCATATTCTCGATTTCATGCTTTTTTTTTTTTTCTTTTTTTTTTTTTTTTTCAGAAAATTGCTCTAAATAATCAAAAAAATCATTAGGAGGATCCTAACTCCAGAATTCTTAGATGAAATTCTTGACAAGGAGAGCAAAGAAGTCACACTTACTCATGGAGTACGGGACGGATCACAGTGCTGCCATGGGCATGGGCGTCATACATTAATGTATAAAAATAGGGTAAGAGAGTGTATCTTATATTCAGCACTTTCCTGGAAATGTTCTCAAATGTTGCATCCCAGGAAACAGGATCTTGCCTCTAGAAGAGAAGAGACAGTTGCTATTCAAACTGGCTTACTGTGTTTAGAACAGCTATGGAGAAAAGTAATGCTGATGTTTACAAGAGAGTTCACATTTAGCATCTTTCATTTTATGTTTTTCTCATGACTTCATAAAATCTAACAGTAGCAGTGGTAGTAGTAGTAATTACCAAATAGGCATCAAAATCTGCCTGGCAAGACAGACCTGTGAAAGTTTCAGTAGGCCCTTGCAAATTCCTCTGCCTCCAAACTAGAGCACCTCCATTTTATTTATACTTCAGTTAAGGCGTAAGTGACAGTAAAAACAGTAGGTATGGCTGTCATCCCTAAGAGGGGAACTAGAAAGAAGGAAGATGAGAAAAACCTGCGGAGAATACTGTAAAACGTACTTCTTGCAAGTTGTCCTGAAGGTGTTACGCATCCTGGAGTACATAATTTATTATCCCTCTCTTCTGCAGGGCAGCACTCAGGACTTGGAAAAAGAGACCAAAGCACTAATGACTGATGTCAGGGAGCACTTCCAATCTTTACTAAATGTATTGAACAATACCTTGGCAAATTGGCTAAGACTGCAAGCAACATGATAACCCTGCATCTGCATTTTTAAAGGCTTTCAAAGTCCTATCGAAAGGTGTGCCATGGCAAGATAAGCGCATAGTTTTTGAAAAGGAGACTCGGATTCATTAGACATGTGCCACACAAATAGCACTACTCGGCTAGACTTGAAGCTCTAATTGGAATCTACGTGCTGTTTCAATTTTTATTTTTCCACTTATCTAGTTTTACAGCTTTCTACAATATAGTCCTTGGCCAGCACAGACCTACATTTAAGCAATTATTTTCCTTTATTCCTAAAGGAAATACAATATCTGATGGTGGCAAATGTGTAAAGTACATAAATTCCTGACTCTTATTCCAGAGTCATATTACACTGTTTCATTTCCTCATTTCTTGTAACAATTATGGACAACTATGGCTTCAAACTCCGATGTCAGTTTTGCACCTTTAACAGCATTTGCCATAAAAGCACTGTACTTTATTGTAGTGACTTTAAATCAAAACGGCCTACAGGGAAAAATAGGTAGGAGTTGGATTCAGTCAAATCAAACATAGTATATGCTTCCTTCAAGTGGTCTAAATCCCAGAGCAGCCCCTTTTCAGGCATAATACCTCCCATGCAAGGAGGGAGGATTACAACAGAGCTAGCATACAAAGACTTTTTTTTTTTTTGGATGAAGAGTGAGACATGTTCTTTTCATGTCCATTTTGCTTGGAATGTACTTCTTTTTCACACTGTCTGGCTTGTGTGATGCCCCAGCTGTTCTCTACATTTGCATTGCAAAGGTCTATCCATTAACAACCATTAAAAATCTAAAACTCACTCTTGTTCCTTTCTCATTGTGATTCCTCGAATATGGGTAAAATGCACCCAGCTGCATCCAGCGAAGACACAACTCATACTGTGAGTCATTAAAGAAGCCACAGATATCAGCTCCTGTCTGAAAGTTGACAAACAATCCAGTTGGAATATTATAAATTCTTGTACAGTGTCAAGATAATTAATTAAAATATAATAACTGATTAACTTACATAAGATATTCCAAAGAGACTGAACTCCATCATACCTGAAAGGAGAAATAATTCATTGTTACCAGCTGTTTTTCTTCCCCCTTTCATATGCTAATGGTTGTGCTAGATAATATATATTATAGTGCTGAATGAGAAAAAAAAAAAAAAGTTTCAAAATTTCTCTAATTTCTCATGTTTTCCTTCTACAGAAAGAAGAAAGAGTTGGGAGATGATTTGTCAGAAACAAAGATATGTTGCACAGCAGCACCAGCAGATGATGAGAACTGATGTGACAGAACACAAGGTGGGAAGGTGGCCGGTCCCAGGAGAATAAAGGAGCTCCCAACAACCAAGGGAGAAATAAAGAAGAAGTCACAAAGGAATTGACCATGGATTCTGGTTGTTGAACAAAGAGTGTATTCCTGTTAAAACCAATAAATTCTAAATGCAGGTAAGTCAAGGAAAAGGAATTAATGCACAGAATATACTGATTAGAGACCTTCTTTCTTCTACATACCAATAATCGATTTAGCCAGCTGATCCCAAGCTGCCTTGTTATCGCCCAGCCAATGTCCAGCCCATTTTCCACTGCTGGGATATGTTGAGCGGGTGATGACAATCCCGCGCTCCTTTGTGGCATTCTGCAAAGCGCTGACATTGAAAACAGATGAAGAAATAAATTACATGAGAACTTATTATATAAGATCCTCTTTGAAAATAAATATAACATCTTATACTTTCCTAACAAAGGGCGGAATTTTTGTTGTACAGATTATTATGGATCTATACAGTCCAAATGTGCTTTTGATGCTAGTGCACAGTGATTTGCACAGAAGCAGAAAGTCAAAATTAAGTGCCAGCAAACCTGTGGAAAACAAGGAGGTGCTAAAATGCAGACTTCTAGTTGAGGGAAATTACTCTGTGGGAAACCACGAACGTAGTCCAACTTGCACATTTTATAGGGCTACGCGATGTGGTATATGGCACATCATTCCTTTATTGTAGAAAACTTGCAGAACCAGCTGAAAATAATCTGAAGAAAACTAAAACCAAGAAGATAAAAAGGGGTCTAGAATACTAGATCTGTCAACATAACTCCAGTTGCCAGAAAGATACCGGAGCAAAAAGCAAGCCATGGACCCGTGATCACAACAGAAACACCAACACAGTAAGAAATTGATGTGAAGTGACTGACAGTAGAAGCCAGAGACTGCTCCTGGCAAGATGGTGTAGATGAGCCATGTGGAGGGAGAAACCAAATGTACCCTTCAAGATTCCCAACTCATGGCCTTGCTGTGCATCACCAGCACCTAAAGCCTTTGGGGTAAGGAGTTAAAGGGAAACAGCAAGCACCAGTTTAGGACTGTCATGGGCTATTCACGGGCTCTGTCACAGAACCCAGATGGCTTCATTCATTGCTACTGGAAGGGGAGACAGTGGCTTGCTGGACAGGAGCTCCCAAGGCCACCAAGTTGTGGCTCTAAAAGAGCAGGATGGAAAAATAATTCACCAGCTAGGTCCATTCTGCAAATAAGATAAAGAAAAATGATTCATTTTCTTAAATAAAGCCTTGGCAATTGCCACAAAATACCTCCAAAGGTAACCAAACAGGCTTTATTACAAAAAGTTGTGGAGCAGAGAGGAATTTATGTTTCATAATTGTCCCGCAGAGGACACTTAGACCTTACCACTGCTGGTCTATGCTGTGTGCCTAGTGTGGATGCATAACTGCGTTGGTTTCTTCGAAGAATCCCTTTGCAGGCATGCACTCATACTGTGAATCATTACAGTAGAAAACTGAACTGCAGTACTAGTTAGAAAGCTGCACTGATTGAATTGCACTGCTCTCCAATGATAGCTCCACAATAATTGCCTAAACAGCTGCTTCCATAAGGCACTATTTATTTATTTTTTGACAGGATTTGCAGCTTTAGTGATGCTATAATTACAACAAAAATACACAAGTCACTTAAATTGCCATAGTAATTAAACTAGACTAATGTGCTGTAATTATTTCTTCCAAGACAAACAGTAAGTTTTCTAGTACCTTTTCTTTCTTTGTAATGTATTACCAAACATTTTCAGCCTCTGCTTCGTTTACCTTCCTTCAACAATCTTTGGAAGGTCCTGCTAAAATTCTAAATCCAAAGAAGGTGTACGTTGCCCACAGAACTGCCCAGGGCCTGAGTGTTTTCCTGACCAGGGGTGCCAGCTCTCTGCTTCAGGACTGAGCCAAAGCCGGATTCTTGAAAAGCAATTCCTCGTGTCATCAAGCCCTCTAAACATTTACCTCAAAATGGTTCCTAGATTTACTCTTAAAAGTTCTGGCTATTGCATCTGTGCAAAAGCCTTGTTACAAAAGAATAACCTTGAGCCGATACAAAGAAGGTTCCTCTTTCTAATTCATACAGAACAGAAATTGTATCAAATTGGGAAAAAAAAAAAAAAAATATCGCTGCTTACTTTTCCATTACACTGGCTTTTTTTTTTTTTCTTTTTTTTTTTCTTCCATATTGTGGCTTTTGCATGCAAACAATCTTCTTGTTTGGATGGCTTAGTCTTAGAATAAGTTATTACTACACATCTTCTGTATCACAATGACTCCTTTAGTAAGGAGTATTAGAGAGAGATCTAATTAGAGAGATCTCTTAGTTGTCATCACTCTCTCATTTTTATTTTTTTTTTTAAACAACAGTTTTCTGTTTGTTTCAACTGTGAGAATATCTGTATAGGCTGTGTAATTTATCGTACTCATTTCTGTTACAGTACCTCTCAACAGAGAAGAAAATATTTCACTACATTTCAGTTCACACCTGATGTGCAGGAATGACAGCAATATTGCTCCCAGTGTTAAATTATTGCCTATTTACAATATCCAAATTGCATGTGAATTGGCTGACAGCAGAGGTATCAGTTTCCTTCCTGTCCTGCCAGCAGGCTCATGTGTTGCTTGACCGACAGCACTGCCAAGCATGCTGCCGGCAGTAGCATCCACCCAGTCAAAAATCAAGTAGCCTTGGTATTTTCTTGTCTAATGGCAACATCAAAGTTACCAAGGACTTTAAGATTATTAAGACCTATAACAAAAAACTGTGCCTTGCTTACTCATTGAATTGGAAACGAAACAGCACAAATATACTATCATTAGATCAGACGTTATCTAAAGTCAGCTGGGATCCTATTCACTAAGGAACAGGTAATGACATCTGCCTTGGAAGTGAAAAAATAAATTCCTAAAAGGAAAGCTTTATGAACAGAATGTGTGTTTTAAATGTCACTGTTTTCTCTTTTCACCCATACTCAAGTATTTTTGAGTACCCAAGATTACTGAGCCCTTCTTAAATTAATGTTCTTAAAAAACTATATTCATTTTTCCTCACTACATGTATAAGGCTAAAACGGTATCAATGCTAGAAATAAAAGAGGCTATCCTAGCACTAGCTAGAAACAAAAGGTGTTTTATATTTTAATTGCAGTAATTAGGTGAGACTGTCATTGAGTAATTACTGTTAACAACAGCTGATCCAAATGTTCAGACCTGTTCTCTGTTCTGCCTTGTAACAGAATAGCAGAGCTATGCCTTTTGATTGACTGCTCCCATTTACAATGCTGAGCATCGCCCCAGGATGGCCTTGCACACTGACTCTTAATAGAAACCTCTGCTGAAAAGTCAACATGTTATGTGTGAACACACTGGGACAGGGCAACGATTGGTGGCGAGTTATTACATCCCAATTAAACTGTACGAGAAATAGCACCGTGACCAACTTATTTCATAATACAGGTCAGTAGTTGGGCTTGCACAATGTATAATGTGTATGGATGAAACCCTTAGAACTGCTATACAAAGACTTGCTCTGCAGCTAGGTGAAGAGTAGCTTTCTTTAATATCAGACTTGGGTAAACTGCCGTTAAAAGGTACCTTGAAAATTGCATCTGCTCAGGGTCAGTGAAATAAAGGCTTTGCCTGTCCTGAGACAGTGAGTGATGCAGCTGCTGGTGTTGACATGCTTCAGCTAGTTCTTTCCTGCTTGGCTCCAGCAGCAGAATGCCTTTATTGCACTGCAACAGCGGAAGCACAGCTTCAGCTCAGACCTGCACACACCCACCGTGCCTTCTCCTGCACGTCCTTGCTCAGGTTCCTACCACCTTGCTTGTACCATGGGTGAGATCACAGCGCGAGCTGAGCAGGAACGTGACTAAAATACTGCCAGCAGCAAAACCTGGAGCATTGGTGAACACCAATGAACGCTCTGAACACCAAACTCCACTTTGAACAGAATGAAAGAATCAACACTACTGGATGAAAAGGAAGACTTCGCCACCATCTTAAAGGGACTCAGGCAGGTTTGGGCCAATAGTTATGGACACCAACCGTTCTTGGCAACACATTTTGGAGATAGCAAGAAACTATGCAAATCTCACTTACTCGAGGGTAGGTTTTGTTTGTGACCATCCGTAAAGACTGTGGACATCATAGTGTCTAACCGGGGTACCATCCGGAAGACGCTGCTCACCTTCCATGCACGGAGTTTTGACAATTAAACCATCTGACCGGTATCCCAAATCTAGTGACAAGGGAAGAAGAAAGACATTTTGTTTTCTTTTTAATGAGAAATATTCTATATCAAATGTTGTTATTTTTTGTTAATTTTCGTGATGTCTTTTGTGTTCACTCTCTTTTGGGCATCTATACTGTCATCTGTGACTTCTTATGAAAGAACGTTTCCATCTTTATCAAATGGGATAGCTCCAATAGTCCTGTTCAGGCATCTGGGTTTCTAAGTGTTTTGATAGCTCTGTTATAGATGCTCTTTCTGGAGCAGCTCAAAGAATAAACTCAGTATAACCTAATTCAGCAGATATTGCAAATCTTTGTAAACCCTGGCCTATCATCCATATAAACATAAATTGGGTTGGATAGTGAATGTGCTGGTTAAGGCCTATGCCTGAATATTAACTTCCTGATGATTCCTGAGAAACTATGTATATCTGAAGACCACAGTAAGCAACTCTAATAGCAGAATAGCAGAGCGATGAATGATGAATGTTAATATTTACTGAGTTGTACTGCCTTATACCAGCACTTAAGTAAAGCCAAGTTAAGAATGTCAATTATTTTTATGTATAGATAAATGCTAGCCAAGTGTTTCAGGTATTTTACGGTATAGAAAAATGCTAATGAGAGGAGACACAGGAATAGTTTTTGAATTTTCAGTTAATCGCGTTATTCATCAGAGAGAACTGCAGAAGAGAGACTACATTCTCTACCGTGTCTAAAACAAAGCACCTACATATAAAATAGGTATCAAAATCTATATGTAGTCACATAACTACAAATAACTTTAGTTTTTAGAAGTGCCATTACTGCTCATTCTAAAAAATATATTATTTGTGTGCTTATATTCCTGGAAAAGAAGGGACACTTTCAGTTAGGAGTTTAGTTGTGGTTTAATATACCTAAATATAGGAATTCATGCCACGTGTACCAATATGTAAGAAATTTCATAGTAGTGAGAATGACCTAACGCTATTTTATAGACTAATCAGACTTACGAGGAATGTATGGTGGGTAATTAAGGAGGTCATCTCTACAGCCTTCAAGGGCGCCATTATAAAAAGTTGCCGGTTCATTCATGTCCTAAAAATATAGAGCAAAACCTGATTGTATTTTCTTCAATCTAACAAGATACACTAAATTCTAAATTACAAACAAGCTGTATTGTAGATGCCCTTGAGAACCCTTGCAGCTGCAGTCTCAGTCTGCAGCTCCACACGTGCTTGACACACATTCACACCAAAAATCAGACACATTTCTACACTTACAATCCACAGGCCATCAAACTTAACACTTTGTGAGTTGTTACGGGGATTGTCGTAGAACTCCAGGATTTCTCTCTTCCACCACTCCACTGTGGAATTGCGTAAGAAGTCTGGGAAAGCTGCATGTGCTCCATAGAGCTGTAAAAATAGGAAAATAGAAAAGATAGAGCACTGGAAGCATCCCATTGATAAAATGCTGGAATTTTCTAAAACAAAAAATAATTACTTGTTTTCTGATTTTACTTTGTTAGGAAGGCTGGCCATTTTCTGCATCTTATTTCTGACATGAGATTTTATCAACTAGGTTGCTGCTATTTTTCTTAAATAATGTGCTTCTCCCTCTATATTTGAGACAATAGCCATACTGTACCAATATTTACCCGTATTTGAGTTTGCTCAGGAAGTGACTCATTGACTGTAACGTTGGGAAGAAACGGCCAGACCTATAGGACAAAGAACATTTTGAAATAATTAAACAATGCTGAATATAACTGAGCACCAGCAACAGAAAGATATAACAATTCTTACCTGCTACTATAAATGACAGCATAAACTCAAGACAATTCAGTTTCCAGTATTTATTCAATGTATCATTTACATTCAGGCATGAACATAATGTTAGCAGACTGTGCCTATGAATAGCACTGAAGTCTAAGCTGACATGATGCTCACTTGGATATGGCATACCTCTATGGTCATATATTTCCTAGGAATAGTACCTTGGAATATATAATGTCATTGGTATTTGGCCACTTGATGAAGACATCGTCTTCCACACCTCTCGAGAACGTAGGATAATCAGTTTCATTTCCAGAGATAGTTGGATCCTAAAATGAAATGTAACAAACTTTTGCTTTATGCTGAAAAAGTAAGTTTAGAAATGCTGTTATATATATTCGTAATTCTGCAATGACGAATTTAAAAAAGTATGCCAAACTGACCAGGATAATGATGAATCTCATTCCTTCTGCTTTTATTTTGTTAATTAGAGCTGGTAATCCCTGAAAGCGTGCGCCAAGAGTGAAATCCAGTTGCCGTTCCATATGGTCAATATCTACATATTGGACATCCTGCAATTCACAAAAGCAATGAAGAAAAAAATCATTTTCTTTTTATTTTTTTTTTTTTTTCCCCTCAAATACATATTTATAGAACATCTGCTAAGTAACAATCAATTTAAACTATTGCAACAAAGTAATGCCAGACACAGGTACAGACTAGGAGACAAGTGGCTGGAGAGCAGCTCAGCAGAAAGGGATCTGTGGGTGCTTCTTTATTATGAATGATTAAAAGATAATATAAAGCAGCCTAAAAACCACATTTAACATGACCATTTAACAAAACCACATTTAACATTCTACATTTAGCATGCAGAGATATGCAGCTATGGCATAAAATAGAGTTTGCTCCTCTCTACCATAGTAGTGGAGTGGTTTTTATTTTGTTTTGTTTTTTGTTTGTTTGTTTTGTGTGTGTTTAAAGGGTCTTAACTGATATTCTGAAGCCAGAAGTTCAGACATGAACTTAAATGTTAAGTGCTACCAGCGTACATAGGGAATGTTAGCTGCCTTCATTTCCTCCACCAGCTGGGAAATTTCACTGTCATTCCTGTATCCATAGCGGCACAACTGGAATCCCAAGGACCAGTAGGGTGGCATCACTGGTCGTCCAATCAGCTAGAAATAAGAAAGAGTATTTGTAGTGAATAGGTGAAAACCAACCAACCAAACAGTCCGGTAAAAAGTACTAGTTTGTAATAGGGTAAGAATCCTACTTCAGTGTACTCCTGAACAACAAGTTCTGGTGTTGGGCCCAAAACCATGTAAAAGTCAAGGATTCCTCCAATGGTGCGGTATGTCAGGGCAGGGGTTGGCTGGAATGTCACATCTAGAAATGGGGAAAGTGAAATGAAAAAAGGATGCCTGGATTAGCAGCTATTGCAAACCACTGAACATAAAAATAAAACACATCGAGAAAATAAAATGATTTTCTTACCCATTGCATTGCTGTTAAGCAAGAGAACTCCATGGGCATTGCCGTCTTCTTCAAGAGCCATGTAAAATGGCTGATAACCATAGGAATTCAACTTATACTGCAAACGAAATAAAATAATTTCTAAAGTGGAAGCATCATAAGCAATGACCCGTTTACATCTATTTAAAAAGTATTAGTAAAGGATGAGACACACAACTTCCAAATCTAAAACAAAAAGCTTCAGAAGTATACACTTATAACCTACACACCTACAAAACACACCTACAGAAAAACAATTTCAGTTTGACAACTGGAGTCTGTCTTGTTCACAGTGACCTAGCATGAAGGAAAGCAAAGGTACTACTGCCTTTAAAACTCACTAATAAGAAAGAGCTTTCCCAGGACAAAATTTTCTCTTTTTTCCAGCAGTAGCAGACATCTATCTGTATGATCAGGAGATTATGTTGTTTTTCAATATATTTCAATATATTGAAATCTGAACTAGAAGTTATAGGTGTAATAAACTGCCACTATTTCACTGGTCATTCCCTGAAAATTGCCAACATTGTGTTATCTTGTAGGAAATAGCACTCATATATGCACCGACATAAGATTTCTGATTTACCCCTCTAAGCACTAATTGAACCCCAAAACTTCCTCATACATTTCCATCTTTCAGAATAATTTGTTAGGAAGCATAATAAAGGAGCACTGGGCTGTGACTTAAAAGCCATATTCATCTGACTTAGAGCCTGAGCTCCACACATTTGGTTTTGCTGGTCACAAAGCAAAAATAGGCTTAGAGAAGACCATTGCCATTGAAACACTGTCCAAATTATAAGTCTCAATAAATACATTCATAGCAAATAAGTGTGTCCAGTACCAGCAGACATTCACTGGACTTCAAAGTACTGTTGAACATTTCTGCAGATTAGGTTCATTTCTACTTACAGTAGGAGCCTGGTCTCTTGTGAACATTCCCCAGGTGTGCCAGCTCATGTTGCGTCGAAACATGGTGTGCTCGGTTTCTCCAAATCCATATATATATTGGGATGCCAAGCGGGTAGAAATCTGAATGAACATGTCGCTGAATGTGAAGGTAGGCAGCTGTGAATCCCAGCTAAAGCAGAAAGAAAATAAAAATAAGAATATTTAAAAATATATAAATATAAAGAAATATAAATTTAAAGACTATAGCAGTCTTTAGTGACATGTTTCACTGGAAGACATTTCTTTTAGGCTGAAAAATAATTTCTTATGTTCTGCACTTCCTCATGTGACATAGGACTGAGCAAATATCAGACTACAGTGACAGGGGGAAAAACTGTAACTGTGAGAAAATAGATATTGCTCACAGTGCGTTCTCCATCCTTTCCCTGGTGAGTGCTCTCATACAATGCAATGGTGAAGCCATCTCTGATAGAGCTGCACCTGGCATTTAGCAGACAGTGCCATTTTATGGGAAGGATAAAAAAAAAAAAACTCGTCTTGAGGTATTTAAAAATATGAAGAAAATGGTTTGGGATGAAAAAAGCTAGCAAAAATAAATGAAATAAAATAGATTGAATATGGCTTACATGACTGTCCCTGTGCTTTTGCGCCGAACCTGTATACCAAATGGTTTTCTCTGAACTGATACTTCATAGAGTAGATTCTCGTTTGTATTCACTGGGGAGCTTGGGAGATTTAATGGTACAGGAACCTCATATCGTGCATTCTGGTAATCATAAATCTAGAAAGAAAAAAATGAAAATTAATTCATTTCAACGAGTTGTTTGAAATCTTACCTATAGTATAGGAATTGAGAATTAGTTAAAATTAAAACAGTAAATTATTGAATACTTTTGCCAAGCTGAGTATTTTCTTTCAACATATATTTTTGCTCCAATTCTGTCACAGTATTTGTGAAACAAACAAACAAACAAACAAAAAAAAAAAAAAAAAAAAAAACACGCTTAAGGATTGAAATGCAGATCATTAATGTCTGGTTAATTATTTAAATCTGTTAATTCAAAGTATATATCTATATTTGAAATTTTATTGATATTTTACATGTTTTAAATATTTTAAATATAGACATATGTGTGTGGTAAATACCTTTCTGATTAATCTTTTAGTAATTTTTTAGACAACTCAGAAAAAGAGATTCTTTTTTAAGTTTTCTTTATTCTGTAAGCTCACACAGCTTACTTCTTGATGTCTTATATTTTGTGCATCACATCATCACGTTTATTTCAGTCTTATTAAATGCAAAGTAGCAAATGATAGTCTAAACAGTAGGGCATTAAAAAAATTAGAACACAGGTGGAAGAATTAATGCAAAAGTAAATATTAAAATCACAATTATGCTTACAGCATAATTTACCTGTATACTAAAATAATGTCTTTAGTTCCAGAGTTTCTGTCTGACATTAGAGATATACACTGACATTATAACTTTGATTCATATAACTTCATTGTAAATTCTAGCACAGACTTATAGGACAAAAACAAACAAACAAGCAAACAAACAAACAAAAAAACAGCATGGCCTGGTCTACAAAACCTTAACATTTATGTAATTTATGTAAACAGAACTATTTTGAACAATGGGACATTACAAACCACAAAACTCTTGCCTGAAATTACCTTAAATTGCAGCATGTGGTTGCTATGATATTTAACCTCCAAGCGCAGCGTACCAATTGGTTCAGTGTACTTGTCATTAGCTCTGGCATTGGTGCTGTTTAAGGTCAGGTTAGCTACCAAACCTGATGAGGAGTATTCTACTCCATCAACAGAGTAAGCGTTGTCAGAGTTGTAATAGCAGGATGGACTATCTGGGTTTGATGGTGATTGCTGCAAATGACAATAGGTTGCAGGTTAGTGAGTGATGCTGGCCTATTGTATTTTATACTATCAGCATGAGATCCAAAGCTACCATTTTTATCAGGTAGCTGTCAAATGTAGAAATTTAGGGAAAAATTAATACAACTACTAAACAATAAAGAAGCCTGTACAAATAATTCAATCAGGAAATTGAGCCCATGCACAATGAAGATGGATTTAAATTCCCTGTATCTGTGATCTTCTGCTGAATCCTGAAACATGGCTGAGTCTTGGCCTACTGAAATTCTCAGAAGTTCCTCCCTCCTAATCCCGTTGTCCTCTAGTCTCCATCAGCCTTCAAGAGGATGTGCCAAAGCCACATTAGATATTCAGGCAACAGCAGACCAGGCCTTTCCATTGGATTGCATATATCTTTAGTCATATAAATTATCCCTAAAATATCCACTGAGAATTACATCCTATGTGTCAAAGATCTCCTGATAGTAAGGTCAAAATTACTTTCAGTTTCCTGCTATAATTCAACAGAAACACTCAGACTAGGTATTCTGAGATTGGATAAACTGACGTAGGTTAATGCATTAGACTTCCACCTCTGCATACTTGTCATTAATCTTGTCTAGTTGTTCTAATGAAGCTATGCCTGCTCCTCACATCTGAGCTGCTAATGAATATTTATTCATCTGTCATTATCAAAATCAAAGCACCTTTCAACTTGAGCAAGTGTTTAAAACGTACACAGTCCATAACACAATCAGAGTTTGATTTCACATGAAAATATATTTCCAAATATTAAAAATTGCAAAAAGAATCTTCCTAAGAATGCCACAGATTCAGGGAACTTCACCTAATTCAGCTGTTCCTGTTTCAGGAACAGCTAACAGATAATTTTGTCTTCATAGGTAGTAGATATGTCCAGGCTATAGAATTTAGATTTATAGGAGCAAGGAGTAATTCAGCTGGAGATACTCTTTAAAGATCAACCCCACCAGGGCAGAGAGCTCCTGCGTGTTTGTAGTCATAAGATATCCATCAATGAAACTGTGTAATAAAGAATTGTATGTCAGTCATTATGGGTTGGATACATAAGTATCAACAGAGATATGAACAATTTAGTTTGCATATGAGTTATAATATCCAGGGGACTCAGGGATTTTGTCTCAAACAATCTAAAGGATTTTTTATTATTATTATTTTATTTTATTTATTTATTTTTTGCTTAAAATGTGCTTCAGTGACTATGAAGGTGAGACAAAAGGGGTGAGTCTTGCAGGTGCCAGTGAAGCAGAAGAGGCAGTAGATAAAGATGCTCTATTCTGTTCTGTTTTGTTCTTCTTTTTTTCCAACTGTTATTATTTCTTACCATCTTGAAAAGAATACCATGTTTTACCTCAGTTACTGATACACTTAGAAAGAACTTACATTGTTGCTAACTACCTTAGTTTCAGTGAAGTAAATAAAATTCCTAGTACAGGTCAGTTGATGGCAGTGCCCCCATACTAATTATGTCTGACAAATCTGCCTGACTACTTTTTCCACTGTAACCACAATGGAGAGAAAGGTGTGATTCTGGAAATGTTTCTGTCACGACCATTTAAGAGAAATCATTTTTGCTTACCTCCCAGACACAGCCAAGTTGTTCACATTTTTCTTTTGTTGAATTCTGATTGGGATAACAATCAAACCTTTCATTGATACTTGCTTGTTGAGTCCATTTCAGTGTGTAGGATTTTCCCAGTTCAAGCTGAAGTCCTGTTATATGAACAACCTACAAATATTACAGAATAAATACTTATTAAAGCTTACATCAGATCAATCTTTCCTTCAGTTAGTAGAGAAACCATTCCTCAGCAACAATGCATTTTGCACATGGCATCTCACAAAAAACTGTCCCATGACGTTTGATATAATCTTACTTTTATAAATGTACACAGCTGAAATTCTTACAAATAACATCTGAAAATAAGAAGATAAACCTAAAAATAAATAAATAAATAAATAAATAAATTGAAAATGGATCCAATCTCATGGTTTCTCTGGAAGCACACAGGAATAAAGACAAGGGCACAGCTCCCTCACCTTTTGAAATATGATTGCAAGAGGTCAGAAAAGGTTAAAATATTTTGATTTTGAGTCAGTTACTTAGATAACAGGTAACACAAGTGCATGTAATAATTAAAGAGTGTATACAATGCACTTTCAAAGCAGATTCAAATCAATGTCAGTGCAATCCTTAGTGCGCAAAAGCACTTCTATGAAAGCTCCCCACTACCAGCAGCATATTCACTTACTACATAAATGCACTGTGTTGCTGACTACCACTACTCATGCTGTGAAAAATGCTGTACAAATGGATACAGGAGGTTCAAAAAGGGCATTTTATTTTGTTCAAAAATAAATACATAAAAATCAATAAACTAATGCTCAATGGCAAGAAGGTAAGAATTTTCACCCTCCTTCAACGTCAAACCAAATCACAAAGGTATTCCTCTGACACATGAAATGTTGTTGTGGGAATAAGCGCACAACTAAACATCGTGTCATTTTGAGGGTCTGAGAGCAAAACTTAGATGCTCTTCCTATACAGCTTAGTTTAATATAATTGCAGGCATTAATATAATTCAGGCATACAATGAATTCTGGTGAAACAGTATTAGTACGGAGGACTATCCTTTACAATGTATAAAATCCAACTGATGCACTTCCACTATAACATTTAACTGTTATAATTTACCTTATCTGAAGGATAGTAGGTGATATTATGTAAAGAAGGTTGCAGATCATTGTTCTGAGTGACCGTAAGTCCTGTTATTTCCTGGAGCACTCCCAGAATTTTGATTTCTTCAAACTTCAGGTTGTTTGGATCAACATAACCATTGTTTATGACATTCATTTGTAGAGTAGTCTGAAAAATAAGGTAGTCATCAGCCTATTATAAAAATAAATAAAAAATGGCCCAAGGTTCTCCTGACTTACCAGTTCATTTTCCTCATTAGCTCTTCACAGCATGGTATAAAGAAAGCCAATACTGTTTTCTTAACATATTAACTATTATCCTGCTTGTTGTTATCATCATACTTCTTTCTTCTTTGTTACAGGAAGAAACTGATGCTTTTGGCTACAAGACTTTCAAACTCCAAGAGTAACTAAAGTTTCTTACCTACAACTGATTCTATGATTCTATACGATTAAATATAATAGATATATAGGCATATATAAAGACATGGTTCTCACTTCTGTTCCTGTGCTTCTACCCTATGCGTTGTGCCTATGCATCTTCTCTCACTTGTTACCTTGTTGTTTAACCATGGTAAGGGAAAGAATACATTTCAGAGATATTATTATCATTATACAAAAGAATACTTTAGCATATTACTTGACATCCTGGTCATATGATATCTCTGGACTAAATGGAATAGAAAATTAATCATGAAGCAGATGGTGTAGGTTCAAACAGGATATAGGTCTTCTCCCTCTTTTAGAGACATTCAGCTACACTTTTTCAGTATCCCAGATTTATTTTTTTTTCCATTTCACAACTTTTTCAGAATCACAAACATATCCACCTCCTTCCTGGCACTGTTTTAACTGCCTCCGATGCTTTATAGTTCTCTCACTCAATAAACATTAGTGTTGAGTTTATGAAGTGAAGGGAATTAAGAGTTCTTTAGAAACTGAAGTTAATTAGGGGAAGAAAAGACAACTAAAAGACTTTCATCCCATTTAAATTACATTATTTTTGAAATGACTCCTCTGTGACTTTGTCAAACACTTTACTTCTCAGTAAATATTACAGGAGAATAAGGAGGGAGAAAAGAATGCCCTTTGACAATACTTTCTGATAATAATAACAGATGAAAATATAATAATTTAAAAGAGAATACTTACATCAGAAACGCTAAACTCATAGTAAATGTAGTTTTTATTGTCAAGTGTGCCTGTTAGGAAAGGAAATAAGTTACACTTGCAGTGCAGAAAAGAATGCATACGAACCAAGACTGTGTCACCAATCAATTACTAATTATCATAAAGCCATTCAGAAGATGCTCTGAACAAATCATGTACAAATTACTGTTGGTTTCACCTTGTTTTGAAGACCTTACACTTATTTTGTATTCTTTAAAAACCTGCATATAGCTCAGAATTGAAGATTCATTATCTTAACCATTGCTGTAGAGGATTCCCATTTCTAACAGAAAACAATAGAAACATTCACTATTTCTGTTCATTGTCCAAGTGGGAGTTTTTTTGCCCTTGAAAAAGTGTTTATCATCTTCAAAATCTCTATAGTATTTAGTATTTCCTCTCATCTTTCTATTTATATCACACAACTTTTTCCATGAGACCTCTTTTCTAGACTTGTAATTTTTCTTGCTGCTGTCTTATGGTATCCTATTTTTCTACATTTGCCCAGAAGAGTGAAATTTGTAGGCAGATTTTAGGCCACCAAAGCTACAAAGTGCTTGATTACTCACTGCAGATCTGCTATAACACCAGGAAATCATACGCTGGCCAACAACTCTCTCTCCATAGGAATGAAGGAATGTAAACTATATATACATTAATATAACTATAGGATAAGTGTATGCCAAAGTAATATGACTTGCTATGCTTTCTCTGCACATTCTCATTTTGCAGGTAAAAACAAGTTAGCCAAGTGAAATGTTCACTACAAGTTCCATCCAACAGATTTCCATTTTGACCTTACTATCATCTCTTTGATGATGAGACAGTTCTCCTAAACTTCTTTGGATTAGGCCAGGAGATCTAATTTCCAAAATTTTCCAAAAACTTTTAATTAAATGTCTCTAAAATGTACGGATATTTTTTTTATTTTTTTTTTATACATATGTATCTTCTTAAATGTAGATTTATGGTTCAAAGTGAATCCATCAAAATATACAAAGTAAGTATTTTGTGCAGAAAATGACTGCAATATTAATAATGTATGCCATTCCATAAAAGAGGAAACACCACACCACCAGGAAAAAATAAATAAATACAAAAATTGACCACAACAATCTGTTACTTTTTTCCATATGAGAAAATGTAAATGTGAGCAAATTGTAAAATGTTTCTCTGCAACCTGAAAGTTTTGGCCAGGAAATAGAATCACAAGATGTTTTATTGTTTTGTTTCTCAACAGAAGAGAGTACAATAACAGCTTCATTATTTTAGATCCTGACAAAGCAGTACATACGGCTGTCATATCAGCAGCCACCCAAGGCCTTCAATATTTACTGCTGCAATAATCAGCCAAATCACAGCTCTATTTCTTAAAAGCATCCCAAACTTTCACAAAAATCTAAAGAAAACTAGATGCTTCCAAGTTTTTTTTCTGAGATACAATTAGCACAGTTAAAATAATAGAAGGGAGTCCTAAAATTCCAATGCATGAAGTTTTTCTCATTCCAACAGATTTTCTAGGATTGCCATCACATTTACCTGTGGAGCACAAATAGGTTACTTTCTGGCATTTTCTGTAGCTTTCTTCCTAACAGACTGCAGAAAATGCTCCACCAGCACCTTCTTTTGCAGCATTAGCTTGCAGAAACCCTTCAAACTAGAGATTTCTGAGCTAAGATTTCTGATATACATGTCACAGTTGAAAATTTCTGACAGGTTTCTGCTACATGAGTGAATCTGAAGGTTCTGACAGAGGTGCTCTGGTCAATAGAGCCAAGCTGTTCCCTAGCCTTGCTCCCTCCAGCTGTCCGTCCTGACCTTCTCCCAGGGTGGAACCTCACAGTGTCAGTTGAGGCAGGGGAAACAAAGCATAATCACATCTTCTCTCCTGCTGCTTTTGTTACAGTGACTGCCAGCACAGCACAAAGCATTTATGAATTTAGGAAAAGTGCATGCAGTTCTGAACCCCAACAGATGCTTGCTTTCATGCAAGTGGACTCAGAGCCTTGGGCTTCAGACGAGTGGAAAAACAGATTATTGTACCAAGGATAAAGGTAGCATTTAGTAAGTGAAGGATAAACCAGAAAAAAAAAAAAAAAAAAGGACCGCCAAAGTACCTACAAGAAGGAAAAGTTTTGCTATCAGAAGACAGAGGCAAGACTGGACCAATGCACGTACCACCTACAGATGGACAGTAGTCAGGCTAATTCACATGGGAAAATATCAAACTGCCTCTGTGAGCAACCATGTGCAGAACCGGGGCCTAATCTTTGGGAATACAAATTGAACATGACCAAAACATATATTTTAACCTCAGTGGTAGTATTACTCTGACTTCATTTTTAGCTGTGCTGTAGTTCTTGTAGTTCTTGCTGTAGTTCTTGCTATGTTCACACCTACATGTTATTCCAGTACAGCTACAGAAAGCTCATGTACTTTTTTCTTCGACAGCTGTCTATGGACGCAATAGGACATGAAAGAGGGAAGATTGGGTCTGCCTGAACTGCAGCAGTATCAACTGGCCTCCACCGTAAACCATAATCCGTAGCACTGAATGATATGGTTTCTTGCAAAGAAAACAATAAAATCCGTCAAATAACACTCCTTGAAATATTAACACCATATACAGTGTTCTATAAATGTTCTTCAAAACAAATGTTTCAGAATTAATGTTCAAAGTGCTTGCTGACCTCTCAAAATATACATAATAAAGGACAAAGGCTGCAAAAGCAGCCTAAAGGACTGAAGTACTCCAAATCCTTTTATTTTAATGGAAAAGGAATGCCTACCTAAATCCTCAGAAATACCATAGAAAATTCCATGGTTCAAGGTATTCCATTTTTCAAAACTTCCTTCCCTTCAAGATAAAAATGAAAAAACTTTCTACTTTTTCCAAGGTTCTTCCACCGTTCTACAACTAACACTGATTTCCTTAGACATGCATGTATTCCAAATGTATTAATTTTCATGAAAACAGAAATTAATCTGACCATAAACTAGAGGAACTAGAGTTTTGTATTTTTATTTTCTTTTTGACAGAATAAAACTGTCGAGGTAAGATTTATCAATGCCAGTTCACCACAAGAGATGAAGTTGACAGGCTTTGGCATAATTATAGCAACTGTCCCAGGGGAAACAACTTCCCTGATTGCTTTTGCAAAGGCGAGGTTGGCAACATGACAAATATAGCCTGTACATGCTTACTTGTGTGCTCGTGCACCGGTGTGCTGTGGGAACCAGATGGCATGAAATATTTTGGCTTCAGTACTGTATCTTTGAGTTGACAGAATCTTGACTGTTTTCACAAGTAATTTAAATAACTCCAGAGAGTTAAAAAAATTGCTACTTTTTCATTTTCTACCTGTTTGTAGTGTCCAACACTAATTATGTGCATTCTTGCACCCATTGAAACTAATTTGGACCTATACCAGAATATGCATTAATCTTGACACTGCAGTTTAACAGTCAGTGTGCTAATGTACCAAACCTTAACATATTTGTGGCCACAGTGAAAACATGGGGTGAAAATAATAGAAAAAATAAAAAAGGAAGACTAACTAAATAACATTTTTTTCACTTAAAAATGATCAAAAAGTCATGATATATGAGTAACTATTAATAGGTTGTAACAATGTCCACAATAGCTTATTCTTGGTCCATAAAATGAGCTGGAGGATTGAAGTCTGTAAGTGTATATAAGTTTGGTTTATCGTACTTATTTCAGTATTGATAGCTGCTCACCTGTAGATTCTCCATCATCCCAGAACAAGTCCCCGTAAGCTTTATTGTCATCATCCAGGGCAATTATAAGTCCCATTGGATTCTTGCGACTATCAAAAGAAAGGCATTCTGTCTTACATGTATATAGACAGCTACTGAGACAGTCTTAACAAATCCTTCCTGTTCATGCTAAGAATGCAGTAATTGGAAGAGTTACAATGTTTGGGGAGTTGTCTTAGATTAGTCCTTGGTCATCTTTATTTTCAGGGAAATGGATTAAAATACATGACAAGTTGACAAAATATTATGCAAATAAACCATTAGTAAATCATTCCCTATATATGTAAACAGTAGCAGAAGTGAGTTGTTGTTCACTGTTGTTTCTAAGTCTCAAAGTAAGAGTGCTAAATTGGATGGGCTGCTACTGATTTGTAACTTGACAGTCCTGAGCCCATTCTTGAAATTATACTTCAAATTAATCTAATGGTGAATGCATTTGGGTTGGAAGCATACCTCTCAGATGTCGTGGGAGCTGGTTGTTGGGTAGGGTAAATGTAGCCTCCTCTCAAATGGAGCCCCATTTTGTCTGCTGGCAGGTACAAATCAGTCCACTGTTTTCTTATTGATATTTTTGCCCCCTTATTGACAGGGATGTAAAAGAATGGGCATTAGTCACTGCTATGAAACTCATGATTTAAGACAGCATTCATTTTAACTTTTCCTTTCAGAGGAGGTTGAATTTAGGTAAATCAACACCTCTCAGTGCTGAGTTTTGGGTCAGTCAACACAGACAGCAGCTCCTGTTGGGCTGTTGGGACATCAGATGTGAGCAAAGCCTGTTTTTTTGGTTTTTTTTACACCCGCCAAAAGGATCAAAGGATCATTACAGCAGTGGGAAACTTATTTGCAGAAATTAGATTAATAAAGAAAAATCACAAATGCTCATGCATCATAATGTTTTACTTTACTTCAAGCATGTCTTTGCTAAAGTTTCTATTCAATCTGCCTTCTAATCCCCTGCACTATATTCCATGCCTCCATGTCCTTTCTTTGAGGTTTTGACTCATGCGTTTACCCCCTCCATACTTCATCCTTTGTCTCACCATTTCCCCCCTGCAGGCTTTCTTTCAGGTCTCTGTCACTGAAGCAGGCCTGACAAACTTATTCGATCTCATAGACCTTTAGACAATCACCCCCTAGTATCCTGGGCATTTACTCACCGTTTCATACTCATACCACACTGCATCAGGAATATATGCTTGAATTACATCCACACCCTGAAACATGAATAAAGAAACAACTCTCATATTTGAAATTAAGTTAATTAATAGACTAAACTTTCTTCTGTGGTGTAAGACAATATAAAGTGACATGAGAAAAGCTCTGATTTTGAGTGAAATTCTGAGACGATGCAAAGATGAGTTGAATCAGTGTATCAGACCAGATGACTGGTTCTCCAGATGACTGGTTCCCCAGGAAAACAAGAGATGGAAAATGTAATAGGTTATATGGGATTTCATATATAAAGTGCAAGATTTTCCATTTTAATGGTGACAAAAATATGTTGTGTGCTCTCTCACTAGAAGTAATAAGTGAAGGGGAGGAGGGGGAGGGAAAGAAGACTAACAAATGTACACTTGCAAGGAGTCCAAAGACAGTCAGTAATGTGGTGTACCAATGAATAATATGTACAATCATCTAGCAAAAAACATACTTCCCCTAGAGAACAAACTGTGTTACAGCTAATAGACAAGTCCCTCTGCATTTTTCTTGTGAAATGACTTCACTTAAGGTCTGCTCAAGCCAGAAGAGTTCAGACCAGAATAGGACTAGAGGGCATTTCCTGAGCTCCTCTGGGAAATAGGAAGAGCCCATTTTTGTGGTTCACCTTGTTCAGCAAAAAATGGGAGAGGGAATGTGATTTCAGGAGGAAATACACATACACAGCAGAGGAGCTATAATCTTCAAGCTGAATAACAAAGATGTCAGACAAACAAACTACAGAAGCTCAAAAAAAAAAAAAAAAAAAAAAAAAAGGAAGGTGGTTTCTAACCAGAAGAATAAAGGAACAGCAATAACATAACTTCAGCATTTTATGCTGTAGTCTCCCACTGGAGAAAGGAGTTGTAACTGGTGACTTCAGGAGTCCCCCTTCCCCATGAGGTGGTTATGAGACACACACCAAACAGCCAAACCTACCGGGTCAAGGACAGCAGAAATAAGTAGACCAGGACCCCACAGGAACTGCCTATCAACTTCCCACGTCACTTCATCCGAGTAGAACCTGGGAGTTGGGAAGGACAGAGCACTAACTGGTTTTGAAGAACTAGACCATCATCAGTAATCCTAGTATTTCAAAGTACTGTTGGCCTAGAATCATGACTGAAAAGTGTCAGGTGAAAATTCCTTCTTTTTCTTGACATATTCTTGACCTAGTTATGTTCAAGAGTTTTCCAGGTAAGGAAATGTACATTCTAATATACAGATCATGGCCCAGAGTGATTTGATTAGCTGGCAATAACATTTCATAGCACCTCTTAAAGTGACTGACAATAATATATGCATATATACAGAAATTACAGATGGTTTCTGATTACTCTTCTGATTACTCCAAAATGGTATTTCATAAATTCAGAAGTTGTCTCTCTCTATATATATTCTAACATGCATTTTCACAAATTATATACTTATTTGGATAGTTCCTATCAACATTCAAGCTGTCTGAATCCTTTCTTCCTAATAAAAACATCACAAAGGTTGTTTGGTACACTTACTCGTGCAAAACTGGACGTACAACCGTGTCCCCTTGAGTATGAGCTTTGTAAAAGAGGGTGTAGAGGTAGGGCAGCAAAGTGTAGCGAATGTTCAAGTAATGTTTGGAGGTTTTCACCAAAACTGAATCAGCTCCAAACACAGCCGGATCCTGAGGCTGAAAATAAATATTAAATTATTTGCATTGTGCAGGATATACCCTGAAATTCAGGAGCTGAAATTCAGTGGTGTGCATCCACACAGTATCTGCCTTTCGGGTGGTGGGATTTGAGGTCTTGCTCCAGTCTCCCTTAGCACTGCCGGTCCCACCTTGTCCATCTCTGAGGAGGGCACATCAGGGTCAGCCCAGGTTTCATTGGGCATGCACACCAGTGCACACTAAAGGGTGCTCCCAAGAATCAGGCTGATGGCAAGTGCTTGCCCTCACTGGAAGATGTTGATGGTGCTGAAACTGCTGCCAAGTCTTTGAAGCCTCAAGGACGTAAAACTAACCCTTATGAAGCAGAACCTCTTAATCTCTTGAAGGCAAGATTTTATAAAGAGAGCTCAGGGTTCTGCCAGTTTCAGACTGCTCTGCTATCTAATTGCCAGTGATGGTAATGATCATTAGGGATACTATCAAAGGAAGTGTGGCAGTGGAATCCAAATCAGTTTGTAAGAGAAGGTACAACTTACTATGTATCCTTCAGCATTGTGATTCCGGGAAAATGGGTAAAAGGCTCCTACTTGCATCCACCGCCTGCAAAGTTCTTCAGTCGTGTCATCAAAGAAACCACAAATATCTGCTCCAATCTTTAAATAAAAGCAGAATGTGTTGCATAGAGAGTACACCACACCTCTAATCTCTACACAAGACATAACATTTAAGGGACGTATCAATTCATCCTTTTTTTTTTTTGCTAGAGTGACTAATGCATTGAAAACATTTGTACCTTTCTTCCTTTAACTAGGCTTTGTGCAAAATCAATCAATAAATCAATCAATCAGTCAACTGATTGTCTCCTAGCACAGTCCATCATTCTATTTTTCTTTCTAACCCTTACCTTCCTGTTTGGTACTCATAGGCATATAATAGGAAAACAACGCCAAATCATACAAATTTAAACCTTGAAGAGCAATTTGGTCATTTCACTTATAAATGGATGCTTCCATTTCAGTCAAAAATGGAAAGGAAAACACCAAAGTATTTCACATGAATCACTAATGGATATAATAATACTAGAGGTAACAAGTAGCTTGACATATATGTTTGTTACCTGCACGTCTCACCATATACATACAGTCACAGAAACTAAAATACATGGCCTAAACCAAAAATCAGTCATTGTAAAAAAAAATAAAAATGTTAAAAAAAGATCCCTAAAGAGGATTAAGGCATGGCTGAAGAGTTAAGATGGTTATATAAATAGCCTTTCATTAGGCAATCCACTGTCACAGAGGTAAGAGGTAATGTTTTTCCATTGGTTTTGAAAGGAGGTCACAAACTAGAATTTCATACATAAGGAATTCCAAAGAGGTTAAATTCCAGCATTCCAGGTATCGCCCATTTTATGTGTTCCCATGTTGCTGCATTATCTCCCAGCCAGTGTCCTGTGTGCTTTCCAGATCCCACAAAAGTAGACCTCGAAATCAGGAAGCTTCGTTTTCCAGGAAACACTGTCTTGATGGCCCTGAAAAAGAAACAAGACTGGAACTATACAACAGAATAAAGATAACAGAAGTTTCAGTAGTTTTATATAAAGAAGATTTATACTGACTAATTTACTATAATTGGTCATCCCAGAGACCTGGACTCCTTTACTGTTAAACAGGCATCCTTTAGCAAAGTTCAAGATGTTAAATTTGAACAACCCTTCTGTAAGTCTTTGACTACCAATGCCTGACCCAGAACTTTAGTTAGTAGATTTTGCTTTTGTTGCAGTGGCTTAAATACAGTCTAATTTTGTCCAGAAATCAGGTTCATTTAGAAGTTGCTATTTTGGAAGATGCAAGCCTGAAACCTTTTTGTAAAGATATTAGGATGCATTCCTTACTCGTTTGTTGATATGGCCATGGAATATCCATAAAGACTGTGGACATCATAGTGTTTGCCCCACTTCTGTACTGCATCCATACAAAGTGTCTTGGAAAACATGAGTTTATCAAGAATACCTTCAATAAAGAAACATAGATTTTAGTTTTAAAGCATGTTTTGGTTCTGAATATTCCAACCTTTTATTTAGTGCACATTCATGACACTAAAGCCTTTCTTTCTTTCTTTAATGTTTCCGTTAAACAAATTCACTGTTTGCATTAAACAAATATCACTATTACTACTACAAGAACACAATTATTTTGTTGGCTGCTGGTTTTATTCAACTTTGCTCTAACTGTGCTGTTTTCTGCTCTTGAGCTTTGTGTACCACATTACAATCGACAAACAAATAGGAAAATAAAATAATGCATTACTGCAAACAGCTCCTGAAATGCAGCTTTGCTGAGGGAGTGGAATTTAGTAGACTTATGGAAAATGTGTATCAATTTGTTCAGTGCATAAAATAGTTAACTCAAACACTTTATCACTTGCCTAGGTGTGATTAAATGGTAGCCACAGTTAATCCCTTCCATGCCAGTGCTTTCTGCTGGCACCTCTCTTAATTAACCTATGCCCAAGTGGACTCACTGTCAGCTTTATTGTGAGCCCAAGCATATGTCTGAGAGCAACAAGATGGCGTAAGCAGACTCTGCATTCTCTGTATTGAATATTCGCTTTACTGTAAGGTAGCGGACTATGCCTGTAAGGTCACAAGTGACCCATATTTGCTCTGTGAGCTACCTGGGGCCTGTGAATGCTGAAGGGACTCCCAAAATCTAATTAATTACTTAAAGTTTTAACTTTCAGTCAACTAACAGGTAATCCTTGCCTATTTTCCATCTTAAATTAGAACTGAGGATACTAAATAGTTGCAATATAGAACAGATGGAAACACTTTTTGTTCAATTTGAATCATTCGTCTGTATTTGAGGTCAGAGAAAGTAATATTTTTACTTCCAAATTTGACAGTAAAATGACACACTAAGCACTGGCTCAAACTGACTGCAATTCAACCTTGGTCCATCTGCATTTGTCCTGCAACTGACTGTTTACCCATGCAATGAAGAACTGTACAGCTGCACCCTAAATTTCTGAATCACTATTGGACAATATGATGGCAATGGTTTCTTGAAGTTAGTACTTAATAGCAAATATGAATTCCATGTAAGTGTTGTGTATAAATGTAAAACTATTGAGTGAAAGAACATCAATATATTTTCAGGGATAATTAAGGCAGCAAAAATATTCAGTAATAATTTGAAAAGTGGTAAAAACACATTATTTTCTCCTGATTCATATAAACTGCGCTTTTGAATCAAGTCAAGACATACCTATGTTTTCTCTCATTTGGAATGTTCATACACCATCTGTAAGAACTAGAGTAAATTCACTGTGCTTCCTTGTATGCAATTGCACAGTAATTTGTAATTCATTCTTTTAAATATTTTTCTCTATGACTAAAGATAGACTTACTGGGAGTAAATGGAGGATAGTTTAAGTCATTCTGTGCACAACCATTACTTGAGCCTTGAACAAAGTTGGATATTTCATTCATGTCCTGAAAAGGTAAGATGCAGACAGTAAGATGAAGATTCAGGTTGTAATAAAGTTTCCTCAACCATGTATTCCTAACAAAAATTTCATGTTCTATTCTGTTATCCTTTAAGGAATACTTTGTACTAGTACCATACATTTAGGTAATAATGATCGCACTTGGATAGCACTTGGATATTGAACTGATCTGTTCCTGTATTATACAGGTCTCACTGTTGGGTGGAATTCTGTATTCTGGTGAACATCATTTTGTGAGAGGTATACCTTATCCCTCCAGAAAAAGCTCCATGAAACTCCAAGAAGCTCCATATACATGAGGTGCTCATGTATACATTGTTCCTGTGACCGACTCATTGGTCAAGTTAATGTCCTAAGTAGGGAGTGTGTGAAGAGAAATGCAGAACCAGCAAATGTGTGCTGTGATTTCTGTCAAAATACACAAGTTGACTAGATGTTCTTAAAGATCTCCTTTATAAGATTTTCCAAACCATTATGCTTTCCAACTTAGCTCTCTTTCTTCCACGCATATTTCACCCTGCAGCACTGTAACTGAAGGAGAACCAAAAATGGAAGAAGAGAGCAAAGTCAGGATGGAAAGCACTGTAGTCTAGTGACCAGTTTCCTTCACTCAAATTGTTTGCTTTCTGTGAGACAGCTGTGCAGTCTACACTTGAAAGCTTGACCTGGTGTAACCACAGCAAAACAAGTGAGAGCTACACATTCAATCATGTAGCAGCTGAAGGACTATAACTTTGCCACAGAGTGTAATTTAAAATTGTTATAGCTTGCTATATGTCCAAATATTCAGTAGATTCTTGCTTTCTTTCAAAAACATTCTTTATTTTTATGTAAAAGGAAGTCAGAAAAGCAGAAAAAGACTACAGGGAAGAAAGTTTGAATATCAAATTTGAATTGATATCAAATTTGAATTGCAAATCCAACAACAAAAGGTGTGAACATCCTGCAATGATTTCAGGTTACTAACAGTAAACTTTCCTTTCAAATTCAATGCAAACTGAATTTGATAAACATTTATCTTAAAATGAAAGTTCTGAATTACTTACAATCCAGATCCCATCATATGGCACTGTTTCATTAAATAACCTACATTCTTCCACCCACCAGCTGGTACAGTCTGGGTTGGTGTAGTCTGGAAACACAGTTCTCCCTGGCCACACCTATAACATTAAAAAGGAAATAATTGATTACATTGTTGATTGCATTAGAAGAAGATGAAAATTTATAATATAGTAAATTTCCTTTTGTTTTGTTTTGTTTTGTTTTGTTTTGTTTTCCAAACAATAATTTGAACCAGGTCTAGGCCAAAAGTTGAAAAAATGTGAACAAAGCCAAAATTCTTTAATTCTTTTATTTAGATTTTCTCTGCCTTTTTTCCACTTTTAAGCCTTTTCTTCAATGCCTTTTACAGTAGATGGCAGAATATGAGGATATGTATCAAAATAGTCTAGAGTAGTCTAGAGTAGAGTAGAGTAGAGTAGAGTAGAGTAGAGCAGAGTAGAGTAGTTGCAGTTGGAAGAGACCTACAAAGATCATCAAGCACAACTGTCAGACTACTTTGGGTCTGACCCAAAGTGCATCCAAATGACTCTGAAACACGGACAGGCAATGCATATCAACCACCTCCATAGGAAGCCTGTTCCAGAGTAACACAACCCTCTTGGTATTTTATTAGGAAATTGGAGATTTTCCTAATATCTAGTATGAACCTCCCCCCATTCAGCTTTTAGGCATTCCCATGTGTCTTGTCAGTAGACACCACGGAGAGAAGAAGTACACCTACCTCTCCACTTCCATCACTCAAAGAGCTGTAAAGAGCAGTGAGGTCACACTTCAACCTCCTCTTATCCAAGCTTAACAAACCCAATGTCCTCAACCCCTTCTCAGAGGACATGCTTTTCATTTTCTTTCATCTTTTAAACATAGTTCTTGTTCTTCTCTGGATGTATTCAAATACCTTAACATCCTTGCAAAACTGTAGAGCCCAGTGTTTACCTCTCCAATTAATGGTGTTATTCCATCTGATTCATTAACCCAGACTTGTTTAGACTGTCCCCTGTAGTAGCTGTCATATCTACTACCGTCAGATAGACTTTCTGTGCTAATAGCAGGATCCTAAAACAGTTAAAAAAAAAATAAGAAAATACAATAATAAGAAAACAAGATACACTCCATGACTTATAGTGGAATGTTAAGCAGGAAGTGTAATAATTGCATAAAAACATGCAAAGTATGATGATATATAGTTATAATGATAGTATTTACAAGGCAAAAAGAAATACTTAAATTCTTACCAATATGATAATATATTTTTTTCCAAAGCCATGCAGATAAGATGCAAAAGTAGGGAGATCTTTAAACAGCACTTTGTCATATGTAAAATCTTTCCTGTTCTCCATGTAGTCAATATCAGTAATCTGAGCATCCTGAAAGATAAGAAATTTCAGTTTAAACATGTGAAGTAACATGTAAAGACTTTGTTTTTTTCTATATATTTTTACAATTTATTTTCTTACGACAATTCCTGTTCATCCTGAAGTGAATTTACTTTTGGGACTTTACTGAAGCCTGTCAGAAAACATGCAGTCAGGACCATCTGCAATATGTGCATCTCATCTCACACTTATATTCCAAATGTATTGTACTGACACATCTTTTGTGCCTTAAAGAAACTGTATTTCACATTATCAGAATTCAAATGAATGTGTAATGGCATCCTTTCTACTATCCCCTGGATGGGTGAATATTTCTTTGCAATTGCCTGACTTCTAGACCTATCCTTTAAATCAAAACATTTCTTCCTCAACTCCTAGCTTAAAAATAAGGTGTATTCATCTTTTGCACACCATCAGGATACTATAATCTGGAATCTCATTAAAATTTATTTGTTACTTACCTTTGCTTATCAGCTAAAAATAATCTCTGGTTCCATAGCTGTCCACAGTACATTGAAAAAATATTTCAGTGCACTAGCTAACACTAAAAAATAAGTAGGTATAGTTTGAAAATATAACTGAAAAGATATTACAATAAAGTGGACAAATAAAACTTATTGTAATTAAGCCTCCCCTGGTGTCCCATTATGATAATGACTCTGCCATTAAAAAGCATAAAAACTTTTGACACCAGAAGTCTATGTTTGATATTTTATTAGAAATTTACCAATCTGAATTTATGTGAAATGAACTTGCAGTAGAACACCACAGTCATAATCTCTGGGTAATTTCTCCCACAGGACTCTGCCTTGATGGGTTGTTGCCTTCCTCAAACCCTGAACTTACATAAGGGAGGTCAATCAGACGATTCCTCTCCACAACTTTCTTCACTTCATCCAAGGACCCGTAATTCCAGCGACTGAGCTGGAAGCCCAGGCTCCAGTAGGAGGGCAACAATGGCAGTCCCACAAGCTGCAAGTTGAGAGTAAAATGATTAGTGGCCCCATTAGCAGACACTGTGTGTGTCACCTCAGTGCCCCAAACCATTTGAATAATATACACTAAGCTTGAATGTGTAAGACAAGCAGTGCACTCCGAAATAGATATATATTTATCTGCCTTCAACAATATTTGTGTGCATATATACATATATATATATACACACATATATGTTTCCTTTTAAGAAAGGCAAATATATTGTGACAATAAAGTTGGGTTCATTGTCACTTGTCTGTTCTTTAAGGTGTCACTGAAACCTGATCAGATCACAATAAATTATGTCTGTGATATCTAATGACCAGAAGGTCATGACGTACCAGCAAGCATGATATCAACCCTATAATGCTGCCATATGAACAAGAATTTGTCCTTAGCAAGCATAAGCCTCAGCACAGAAGCATAAATTGTTCTGTGTAGACCACCTCTATCTCACTGTGGAGATCAGTCTGGGTGTACAGACTAATCAATCTAGCAGCTACAGATTTCTTCTGCCTCAAACAGATACACCCTCTCTGCAACAGTATCTCCAGCAAAAGTAGTGCTCAGGTTTAAGCTGGCTGTAACAGGCCAGCTAAGAACATCTACAACCCAGTTTAACCCCAGCTGGCTATTACTAAGGACAGCAGTCACATTAGCAACATAATAACAGTTATTCTTAGATAAATACATAGTGAATCATACTTTCAATTAATAGATAACATAGCAAAGATATAAAGAAGGGAATAAAATAAAATAAAATAAAATAAAATAAAATAAAATAAAATAAAATAAAATAAAATAAAATAAAATAATAAAATAAAATAAAATAAAATAAAATAAAATAAAATAAATAAAATAAAAACTTTTAAGGATCTGTTCACTGTGTAGTTTCTCTATATAAAGGTACCTGCAGGTACTCCTGGACTACTTGCTCTGGAGTGTTCCCCAAGAGGATATAGAAATCAAGGATGCCACCAATGGTTCTATAGGTCACTGCTGGTGCAGGCTGCACTGCAAATTCTGCCAGAGAAGAACGCACAAACCCAATTCTGAATATCAGCTAAATATAAATAAGTTTGTCATACTAATATTGAAGACAAGAAAATTTACTTTAAGGACAAATAAAATTATTATTATTATTATTATTATTATTATTATTATTATTATTATTATTATTATTATTATTATTGTTATTATTATTATTATTAAATTGATTATTTAATAATGATAGTAATAAAAACACAAAACAACAATAAGAACAACAGAAACACAAAACAGAAATACCTAAGGAACTCAAAACCATTACATGAACTGGTAGTGAAGGGGAAATGTATTTAGAAGACTCTTTTAGATGCTCATGTTTGCATTTCTTTATATCCCAAAAAGAGAAAAGAATCAGAAAAAAATCCAATGGTATGACCTTTTCTCTTTAACTTCTCAGTACAACTGTCCAGACTCAAGAGAAATTAATAGTTTTCTTAAAGCATGCATATATGCATGTTTATTTCAAAGACAAAAGGGTGTTTTTTACTTTCAAGTAATGCTCGCTCCAAGTTTATGCTCTGATTCTGTTGTCCTGCACATCTGCTCTGAGCTGTGCAAGGTTTCAGAGAGGTTTCTTACACTCGGGTGTCCAACAGAACCTGCATGTAACTTTGAGCCACTCACTCCTAACACTGCTAAACTGCTAAATGCTTACAATGACTGTCGTCAGATAATTGAAGACAACATTCATTAGGATTTTATGCAATAGGATTTTAAAAGGGATATTTACATTAACCCAGTTTTGATCTCAATCCTGCATATCATTTAAAGAGATACTTGGTTGCAATACTTAGGGTTACAGAGAAAGTTTTCTTACCCATGGCATTGCTGTTCATCAGGAAAACACCAAAAGAGGCTCCAGAGCTGTCTTCCAAACACAGGAAGAAAGTTTGAACTCCATACAAGTTATGCATTGACTTCAAGGAGAAAAAATAAATAAATAAATAAATAAATAATAATAAAAAAGAGGAGTTAAAATCTAATAACACTGCAACACTGTTTTGGGCATATTTCAAAATATTACATGTAGAACTTGAAACTGTTTAAAATATAGCAAACAACAGAAAGAAAAATCACAACACTTTTCTGAAGTTTTATTTTCTATTGCCTGGCATTTTTCTCCTTTATGAGAATGTTTTCAATTACAACTAAGCTTTCCTGAAATACAGAGGTAACATAAACAAGCAGATATGATAGACCTGTGGGCAAGTCTGTATACATTGCAGTACTATTTCTGTGTAACATATGTGCACATTGAGTAACAATATAACTTGACAGGTGGTACAAGATTTTACCTCTCATCTATGATACTATGAATCCTTCAAGACAACCATTTTTTACATTTAATGTATGTAAATATAAGAGAGCACCTTACTTCCATTCTGTTGTTTTTTCCATTATTACTAGCAACAACAACAACAACAAAAATAAAAAAGATCACAGCTGTTGTCATAGCTGTGTTTCACCCCTGCAGCTGAAAACTCAGAATACATGATGAAAGAGGAACAGAACCAATGTGAAATTACCCTAACTTGATTTTGCTCACTGTTAAGTTTAACTTAATCAGCGTACACTCAATAGAGCCATTTGGATAAAAACTATCTTCAAACTTTCAAGTACTAATCATTAACAACAGGCAGTTTATAAGCTGAATGTGTAGTAGAGGTAGGAAATAAATGGGAAGATTTCTACAGTAGAGCTTTTTTATAGTGAGACAAATCTGACCTAATTTAGATTTTGGTCCTGAACCCTGAGTTCCTAATTCCAAATTATTAACTAATTACAAATAGTGGTCTCTCCCCCTAGCTTCTGTTAGTATAGCTTAAGTTTCAGCAAAACACTGAAGTGCTCTCTGAAAACAAATCATATGAATTGTTGCTTTCTTATACTGAGGTAACACTGATGAACAGTGTCTGTTGTAGGCTCACTGGTGAGTTATAAATAAATTACTTGAGGAACATCAATAAAAAACACACAAAAATATTCACATTCACAAAAATTCCTTCACTCATGCTCTGTATTGATTTCTTTCTGCACAATGTCCATGTGTTGATTCCATAGGGCTTTGAATGTTTTGTTTTTTCATAGTATTAGCTAAACTGACTGCTTACAAGCTTTAGCAAATATTTCCCTAGTCAAAGCAAAATATATTAATGAGTATAGCAATAAGATTTGATTATTTACCACAACCAGAAAATGACTACTGTTGTTTGAATCAGCATCTCACCTGAGTTTAACCCACACAAAATCATTATAACTCTGTGAACAAATCACTGCAGGGAGGAACTGAGAGACCAACACCGTGTGCCTGTGCACACCAGTGTTAAGAAGAACTTGGATCAAAGCTAGAGAAGTCTCAGTGCAGATGTAAGATTCTTCTGTAATTATCAAAAATATGGGTGCCCTGGAAATCATTTTGGAAAAAGACTACAGACACAAGTAACTGCTGACGGACATATTTTATCTCATAAGGAGACAGCCGTTAAAGAGAACTTTGCCATCATTTGCCAAACTACAGTGTTGTTAACTGAAACAGCATGTGTCATATACACCAAACTCTGCACAAAGCAAGGCATTAAGACATATTGTTATTTATTTTGTTATAATTATTGTTGTTTATTTTGCTTATCAGTAGAAACTGAAGACTCATATCTATATCATGTTATATATATTTATATATAATATAAATATATATATATTATAAATAAATATATATTTATTATATAAATAATATATAAATAAATATATATTATATATATTATATATATTTATAAATATATTATAAATATATAGTTATATTCATAATATATAAATTTATATAAAAATATATATGTATATATAAATATACTTATATATAAAAATAATATATAATATAAAATATATGATATGAAATATATTTTTATATAAATATATATGTATATATATTTATATAATATATAATATAAATATATAGATATTATATATATATAATAAAATATACATATATATCTATATATAATGTCTACTGCATAACAGTTTTGGATTCCAGAATTAATTTGCAAAGAATAGAGAATAATGAAATAAGTCCTTACTCCAGAGGGGCCAATATCCCTGCTGAACATGGGCCAGGTTTTCCAGTTGACATCATGTCGGTACTGTTTATGCACGTGCTCTCCCACCCCATAAATGTTTCTGCTAGGTAGCTTGATTGATAGCTGCAAAAACTGGTCAGCATACTGCAGTGGTCCTATGCTAGTATCAAACCTGGTGAAACAATTAACCAAAAAAAAAAAAAAAAAAAAAAAAAAAAGAGAGAGATTTACACCAAGAATTGATAGAATAATTGTTTCTACTCCTTTTAGCTAGAGATGGATAGGCATCCAGAGGCCTGAAGGGGACACACATGGAGCGGGACAATGTGCAGCTGCAGCAGACAGAGATGTCCTTGCACACAGGATGAGAAGAGCAGTACCAACTGATCTATAGAAACTTCTCATACAAGTGTCCCATCTATTTTTGGACATACATTCACTATCATGTCTTCCACCAAAGCTTCCCACCCTGCATCTTTTGCACTGAATTGTGAATCTGCTCAGTAAAAGTCAATTTAATTAATAAAGTTTCTTCTGTTAATTTAATTTTGTATCTTTCACCAATACCTTTCATTAGAAACAATTCTTATCCCAAATGAAGATTAGGAGAGCTTTAAAGGCTTAAGCTAAAGCTAAATTTATTCCTTTTTTCTACAGAGGGGCTCAGGAAACTGAGGAAATCTGTTGAATCAGAGAGGAGTAAAATGCAAGGCATTTTACTACAGTAAAAAGCAATTCCTACTGTCAGACAATAGTCCTTTAATCAATCGAAAGATTGAATTTCATTAATATTGATCTTAAACTTAGTCATTTTCTTCTTTTATTGTTCTAAGACTTTGAATATTTACACCTGGCAAATGGATGGAAATTGACCCCTACCCAGAAGTAGCTTTACCTTTTCATCATTTTTTTTAATTGTAACAATGATGAGTTAACCTAGATTTAAATCACAAAGCAATTGGAAAGAAGCTGATCCTGAGATCTGAAGGTTATCTTCAGCTTCATTAAAACATGAGTTTACAGGGATATGCAGAAATACAGATTTTCACCAAAAGCGGAGAAAATGACTTACTTTGAGAAAGCAAAGTATATCAATAAGCTTTAACATCATACACAGTTTCAAAGTAATATGCTTTTACCTACACACTCTAGTTTTAATTACAAATTTTTAAAAGTTACATTTTCATGTGATATCTGTGCCATTTAACAATCATGATATTCATATGAAGAAGGAGTCAAAGGACAACTTTTTCTCAGCTTTATGCAAACACAACTGCATTGATTTTCAGGGACTTTATCACTTCAGATGTATTCATACACTGTATTTATCACCATGAATAAGTATATTACCATCATTAAAATCTATTAAAATATTTTAATTTAAAAATATTAAATTACCATTAAAACCTATAAAGTAAATATACAGCCTACTATCAGTTACAAACATTGCACAAACAAATGACAGAAAAGGGGGAATTCAGGCTTGCTATAATTTTAATTTCCCATGTTACCATTTCTCTTTTACAAAGTTAAAAATATTTATGTTTGACAGAGCCTTGATAGGTCAAGGCTTCATGTGATATATTTCTGTCCATTTTTAATGACTATAAGCACCATTTTGCCCAACTGCTTGCTTTCTACTGAACCTAATTCTCTGGGGAGAGAAAGTCTGTCTGTATTTCCAGTGAAGTTATAGCAGTCATTCACATTGCCTTGCAAATAATGATAATGCAGGCTAGTAGGCTTTATAATTATTTGGATGACCAGGATTTTTGTAGTGATTTCCAATGACAATGATCCTCACTCTTTCCTTTCCAAAAAATCTTTCTCTTTTGGTTGCTTGTTTAAGTGTTAGGGAAAAGCACTCACCTTATCAAGGATTTACATCTGAAGGACTGCTCTTAGCTCATACTAACACTGGCTTACTTTGAGATACTCATCAACTTGGACTCGAGCATCATTATAATTTATTAAATTTCATAAAAGTGGTTGAATTTTCTATCTTTAAAGAAAAAAAAAAGGGGGGGGGGAGGGAAAGGGAGGGGGAGGATATAGAAAAATGTCCAGTGTTTCAACATGGTTCTTTTGAACCAGAATGCTTATTTCCCCTCATATACCTGCTTAATCAGTCACGGACTAGTGAATACCATGTCCATCTTTTGTGCTCCATAGAATTGCAAATTAATCATTATAGAGGATTCTATATAAGAAAACAATACTGATAATAGCATAAAACTAATTGCTAATTAATTAAACTTGAAGCACTGATAATTTAACTATCTTAGAACTCTGACAGGTAATCATTCTTTGAGCTATGCAGTTAGTTCAGAGCTAAATTTGTTTATTCTTAGGAAACAAATGGAATGAAAACTTTCAATATATAAGTACATCAAATATTTTACAGAATTACATGACCAACTTATCACTGTCTTGCAACAGCTACTCTTGTGTCATAGGTCTAAAGAGCAACCTGTTTTTGGTGATTCAAAGATTCAGCACGATTGCAACAACTAAGATAAAAGATGCAATGAAGAGTATTCACATGTCATTTGAAGAACTGAGAGGGTCTTGTCTTCAGATAGTAGTGATTCCCTGTGTTGATGGAACAAAATAGCTGTAAAGATTTCCCTAGTACTGGTGGAAAGAGAACAGGTAGCCAAACCTAAAACCTTTACGACAGATCTCTCCATATCACAGTATTTATTTCAAAAGTCCTCACAAGAGCCCTTGCACAACGTCCATTCGTCAAAAGAACAGAAGTAGACTACATCTCCAAGAGGGCACTTTACACACGACATCTGGGGAATACCTTACTTATATGGCAACATGAACTTTCAGAGAAAACCAGTGACATCGGTGTTACCCAGAAAAAAATACCAATGTTACTTACAGAACCTTTCCGTTGCTCACTCTGGTCACCACAATACCAAATGGATTATTCTTCACTTCCACTTTGTAGTTTAAATTGGAGGCGGCAGGTCCATTGAAAGGTCCCACATGCTCATGGGGGACTTCAAATCTTTTTGTATTAGGATCAGTAATCTGCACATATTTAAATAATAATAGTGTAAGGACTTTAAAAACTAATGTCTAATTTAAACATTTTCCAGCATTAACACATGGCTCTGATTTAGCATATTCCCACCCCTGTCCCAGTCTCCTCCATCCTCCTTCATTATTCTCTTCCCCCTTTCATTATACATTTTCAACTCTTTCCCTACTATACTTGACCCTGTTTTTCCCTGGTTTCCAGGGAAACCCATCACAAGAGAAAGGTCTCCCACAGGAGCCCTGCTTGACCCCAGATCCCATCAATACCCCACATTCACTGCACAAACTGATGAATTTTCCATGAAGAACAGAAAGCTTTGGAAGACCTAAAGATGTCTGACAAAGATATTGAGAGATATGGCCAGGCCGTATATAAAAAGGAAATAAATACATCTGGCCCCAAAATCTTTGTCCTCTCTGCTGTTACAATGCTAACCCTATGCATTGTAACAGCAGAGAGGACAAAGAAAGGCAAAGCTGAGCTCTTCTCAGTAAGTCATGAGGGTACATCAGAGGGATTAAATCAGCCTTCCTAAACTTACTGCACAATAACAGCCAGCCTAAAATCTTGCACAAAACATAAACCTTAAAATAGCATATGAAAAAGATTAACCTTGAACCGGAAGCGATTTGATGTCTGATACTCTCCTGTGAGGAGGACAGTGTTGATATCATTTCCAAAGAGGGAAGGTGATGGCAGCCTTGTTAATGTGGCCTCAAATCCTTGAGAAAAAACATGTTGCAACATTATTGTGTGAAATCAGATATCCATAAGTGCATAAAACCGGGGAACTCTGATCACAGTTTACCTGTCTCAGTTGATCTTAGAGACCCATCCACTTTGTACCCATGGTTACTAGGGAAAAAACACCAGGGCACACTGGTATCATTCTGGGGATTCCAGCAGCAGCCACGCAAGGTGCAGATGCTCTGATTCAAGGACACGAAGGGCACAAATTAATTGATTTTACACAAATAAATCTTTTTATACTAAAACAGTTAAAATGCACATGAAGCATATTTGGCCCCAAACACCAGAAACCTTAGTAACATGTGCAATCAGACCAACTGAAAATCTATTATTTTCTCTGAAAATCTATTGTCAATTTGAATGGAACAGAATAAACATTTTTTCTTCTGTATTCAGAGTAGAAACAGGCTTATTAGACATTATTTTTTCTTAAAACCAGAATAACCACAGACAAAAGAACCTGTAAAAAACTACTGAAAGCTTTGAGCTGTGACAGATGTGGTATAGACAAACCAACAGACACTGGAAACTTAATAAAATTTATGGTCTAGTAAACATCTGTTTGGAAAAAAAAAATGCACCATGTATGCACCATTGATAATCAGGTACAGAATAAATATTTTAACATAATTCTCCAATTATAGAAATGTAAAGATTGCTTCTGCGGAACGTTATATTGAGATAAATCAACTTAAAAAAAAAATAAAAATCAAATGACTGAGCAATTAAACCTATTGTTCAAAGCACGTATTTCAGTGTAGTGGCATCAACCTTTACACTGTCTCTCAGCATTCCAATAAACTAGAATACCTTTGCTTTGCTGTTATAAATTAACTTATTCACAGATTGCCTGCATGAGTTTTATGTTTGAAGATAACATCTGAGTAATAGATCACTATAAGTATTCACACATTTTCTCATGTTAGAACAACAACAAATTACTTGGGGCGAAGGGCAGCAGTGATAAAAGAAGCTCCACTGAGGGCAAAGGGCCATGTCCATGAGTGATTTCAGGCACCCAAATCCAACATGTAGGTCTTCAAGACCTCTGTCTCCACTTGTGTGCTAGCAGAAGCTGTTTGTTTGTGCTCAAATATTTTTTTTATATTTTTTTATGCCATATTTACTTAAAATATTCTGCAGCATGATATAGGTGGAGATGTGTGAAAATCACTATTGCTGCTGGTGCATGTGCCACTGTTTTTTGGGTTATAGAGCCTAATTTTGTCAGCACAGGTCAAATACAGTCTCTGAATAGAGAAAAATAAGCCAGGTCCAGTGCAGAAATAATACAAGTGCTAAAGAAATCACAGCTCACAGATTCACTGGCCTGAGACATTGTTATGCATTTATTCCATAGTGATTGGACTGAGCACAGTAATCTCCACAAAACCACTCAAGGTAAACCTAGATACACCACAGAGATAAATGTCTGTCTCTCTGTCATGAACTTTTGACATTAGAAAACATGCATGCTGTCATTTTCATTAGTTTTTAAACAAAAGCATGGTTGGAAGAGAGATACAGTGACTCAATTTCTTCCCCATGATCCACAAATCAATGCACTTTCTAAATCTGTGTAAAACACCATGCTCATTTTCCACCTTCTCAACTCCCACCATGAGAGTTCCCTACTTCCCAGGTTATGAACTATTTCAAAGTAAATGAGAAGAATCACCCATCCCTTCCACAACTGCAGAGATTGCAGCTTTGTTCTTCAAAGCAAAGAAGCTTTATTTACCTAATTTCCCTCGGAGTTAGGGGAAGTATCCTAAACACATAGCAACAGAGTTACTACCTGAATTTTCTTATCCCTTCCTAGGCCTGTGGGTACCCCCTGCAACACAGAATAGCTTGAACAACAGATTAACCTGAAGCCTGGTAGTTCAAGCATCTCCTTCTCCAACTTCATAAATACACTTTTCTTTTTCCAGCTACTTCTCATGAACACCCATTTGAATATCTTCTGCAGTTATTTTACAGTGCAGTGATGGCCTTCTAGCTAGATCTTATTCTAATAGATGTGTAAACTACATTTCTGTATTTTGTGGCATGTCAAACTTGATGCATAAGGAAGTAAATTCAGAAGTAATAGATTGGTTACACCTGGCACAGGGGAAGGACCAGAGTTCAAACAAAGATACTGTTGAGGCTGTTATAAAAGTTATCATTAATATAAATAAAGATGGGAGGTTATCACAGCCTCTGAGCTATAAACAGCATAATAGAAACCAATGCAATAAAATCAGAAAGAAAGTCAAAGCTTTCTTCAAACCCTGGATACAGGGAGACGTTTTATGGTGGAGTACTCAATGAAATGGTTTCTGAACTCAGCACCAAGGACTAAAAGAGTATTTAAGCTATGTGCTGAATTAAAACATTTCTTTTCTGAGCATCAAAACAAACCTGTGCAAACAAGATAGTTTTGAAACAACAAGCTGTACAGTCTCCCTTCAAGCTTTCAAAGGTATCAATCTAAGACTGGACAATACTAGCTCTGCTTAAAGTTTTTTTTTTTTGTTTTGTTTTGTTTTTTTCCTTTTCTAATAAAACTTTGCAACAATTTCCCACAGCAGTAAATAGTTAATAAATGTCTCCTTTCTTTCAGCATTTCTATCTTCAGCAATCCTGTGGCTGGTTAATCAACATCTACTAGCTTTCCATACTCTTGTCTTTCTATTCTGCAATCCTAGCTTCATCTAGGACACCGTCAGTGAATAAAGAAATCAAGACAGACACTAACCTGCTACATGAGCTTAGGGAAAGCCTAATGTTCCCAGATTCTTGTTATTCTGAAAACCACTAATGGAAACCACTACATAAGAGTTATTTCCTAAGCAGATACCTGTAGGTTTAAAGCTCTGCTGGTTACAGTATTAGGATAAGTCTAAAGCAGGACAACAACTCTTGCAGGAGAAAATTTATAAAGGAATGAAGAGACACCGGGGTGGGATTTTGGGTTCTGTCAGGCTTTCTTCGGCGTTGCTCAGAGCACAGATTAAAGGTGATCCTTAACTCTAATCCTCTGAAATCTGCTGCCTAGTATTCACCAAGGAAAGTGCAGATTTAGGAATCATTTATTTTACCTCTAATTCCAGAGCAAGTACCCCTGTGTTCTAATCTGTACCTGGCCTTCCATTTTTTTCTGGTGACTGTATTTTGATTATTTTTAATTATTCCTAATCGCCGAGGGCAAAAGACAAGGTCAGATTTACAAAAAGGCTTGCAGTTGCAACCAGAGGAAAACTATTTTCCTCTGTTGTGATAAGTGCAGCACTTAATGTGGGGTGACTGGTTCAAAGGTTGTAATTAAAGATTAAAGTGATCTGCATGACATCTATCATGGCGTGCTTGTTCCTGGGGCATGGAACCAAAAGAGAAGAGGAACGTGCTGTGAGTTGAGCCTTTACTAATCTGTTAACCTGCAGACTTTATTGAACTATATATCATAATACAAACCATGGCATGACAGTAGCATTAACAACTGTCTTTTCTGGAATTGGATTGGGAATTCACTGAGAGACTGAGACAGTTGATTAATCATTTTTTATACCGCTGTGAATGATGTAAGTATCACATATCATAATATACTCTCTGTCTTTTCTTATAAACTGCACCCCACGAAGAAAAGAAAGATGGCAGGCACCCATCAGATTCCATCAGAAATTAAGAACATCCATCATAAACTGAATAATAATAATGATTATAAAAATAACAATAATAGCCTCAGTAATAGCCTTCCTATAACAGCCACTATAAAAATGTTCTGAATGTGAGAGGACTAAAAAATTAAGATGCTATTTTTCACTGGAAAACTAAACTCATGGATTCTTAAACAAGAAGGTCATTTCTAAACTCTGTGCTTGCTCAGATGAGAGACAACAACCAAGAAAGAGAGAAAGTGAGATTCAAATCAGTTCTGAAAGGAAATTGGAAGTGTTCATTGCATTATAAAAATCATGTTCATCTGTGTAAAGTGCTTCTTGACCTATTTCTAAAATATGCTTAATTGTAAATGCTGGTTGACTACCAGACAAATAAATTGCTTAGGCAATATTGTTGAAAACAATTTTTCTAACCATATCTTGTTTGCCTAATTTTGTTCCTGCTTATCACAAAGCCAAACTGCTGGGAAGTATATTGGCAGAGGTCTTCAACCCCTCACAGTATACTGCCACAGTGGCTAGAAAAAATAGACCTTCTGACGAAGAGCTAAAATTGTTTATACAGGAGTTAAGCTTCCCCACAAAGCATTTAGATGTTCAGAGACAAAAACAGCAAAAAAAAAAAGTTATAAAACCGCCAATATAGTAGAGACGAAGTAAATTTTCATAATTAAACATGAATCTTTTTGTGAGAAATTCTATTTTGTAATTTTTTCTATAATGTTTTCAGACCTTTGTAGCAAGTTGATCTGGGATGCAGTCAATTCTCTCTTCTATTAATATGTTCGGACATACTGGTGTAAATTCTGTTACTGAAATAAAATAAGGGGTTATTAACAGGATTTCCAAAAATCAGGAATATCTGTATTACCTCTTAAATCATTAAGTGCTTCTGCTAAATATTTCACACTATCTGGAAACTCTAGCTATTAAAATAGACTCAGATGAATTTAATATATTGCTACTGTGATTTACCTTATATTTGAAACATTGCACATTCCAGATAAAGATAGGAAAGCTTCACTTTCAATTTCTGCACATATGGGTAACACTGATAAATTTATTTCTTAAGATATTGAGTAATCCTATTTTTTGGTAAGTCATATAACTCAATATGCATCACTTCTTTTAAAAAATTTACACCAAATTAAAATCAGAAGGATTTTTATTTTTTTAGATGGTGGTGTGTAACTGCTTTTATGTATGCTTCTTCCCATGAAATACTGCTCATCCAGGCAGCTTGAATTAGAGCATCAAACAAAAGCACCTTAAGCTTCCATTAAGAATATAACTGTAACACTGAAAGCCACAGGAAATATGTTGGTTTTAAAAAGAAGAGCAGAACAATGTTTCCTTTTTTTTTGTTGTTGTTTTGTTTGTTTGCTTGTTTGTTGTTGTTTTGTTTTGTTTTTCATTTGAACGTCCATGTTTTTTGAAAAGTCTGACTCACTGGTGATTTAAATGATGCCAATAGGCAGCTCCTGGAGCTGCATGGGATTCATGATCACCTAGGCAAGCAGAGCTGAGCAGCCCCCTGATGAAGAGTTTCCATCTGGTAATACAAATGGCAAGTACTTACCATTTTGTTCAGTACTTATTTGGACTCCAGGTTGTCCTGATGCTAACAGTGCAATGAGGACAATGGCCACCACAGTCACCAGACAGAACAGGGCAATCAGGGTGCTTTCCAGACCAGTGAACTTCCTCTTGCCCATCTAGGCTCAGAGTAACACCATTGACATAAGTAAAACAAAAGTAATAGTTTTGAAAACTCTACAAATTACGTTATTGATTTTAATTAATATATGTTTACACATTCTTTAGGTTTTAAAACCCTAATACTGGGGTTAAAAATAAATCTCCTATTCAGGATGATTCACACAGCAGAGAGTACCACATTATTACACTCATAGGAAATCACTGAGAAATGTGTTTTATTCAACTGTATACCACTTTAGTAAAAGTTGTGTGATGTGCGTGTGTGTGTGTGTGTGTGTGTGAAATAACACTAAATCTGTTGCACTTCATCACCTCTCATTTCCTACAAATATATACTATCACCCCACCAGCATCCCTAGTCCTGGAAATCCCACAGCCACAGGAATGAATGGAGAGGAAAAGCAATACTGAAACACCAACAATCCCCAGAATAGTGAAGGCAATACTTAGATACAAGTGCTTTTCCTTAATTACAAATAATTATATTAAAATGATTTAAATTATTTAAAAAGCTTTTCTAAATATCATAGTGCTGTTCATATTTTCTCTACTGATACCTAAATTGGTAGCCATTTTTATGATTATTGTTACTTCGTCAGGGAATACCATATTTAAAGTCTGAAACTACACTGTATATTAGGAAGTATATATTTAAGGCCTCTTCTTTATAATGAAGAAACGATACTCCAACAGTTCCTCTCCTGAGTTTCCTTTAACATTGTCAGAGTACAGGTCCACTAGGAGCCCTAACAAGTGACAGTTATTTTTCTGAAAACTAGAATATTATTAAAGTCCTTGTCATCAAACTCTTCCCACCACCCACAAACAACCATAGCATTCTATTTCAGCTTTTTCATTTTCATGGTCTCCCACAAGACCTGAGACTTTGAAAATATGGATTTATAATTTATAACAGTTCTAATTTATAAAAGTTCTACTGCATGACTTGTACTCAGCAGTGAAGTAAAGGTCTCCAGTAACTTGGATGCAATAAATGGGATGACATACCTTAAAGCCCCTCTGCTTCCTTCATCTGCTGCTCCTAGCTGTAAAGCTCAAACTCAAAATCAATGCTTTATTCTCTGTTCTTATCAGCTCATTGCGTTGTTTGCTAACCAATCTACCAATAGCAGGTCCATACATAATTACAGGCAGATTGTAGAAACCCTTTGAGCTAAAATTAGTTACTATGGTTATTGTAGCCAAGGAATGGCTAGTTAATTAATAATATTTTGGTTCAGTTTTACTCAGCATGTTCCCCAAATAAGACAAAAACAGCAATAAAATGACAATATGTTTGTCCGTGTTGCATGACTTAGTGGTTTTATTCTGTTCTTTTTCCATATCATTATTTCTAGAACCTTCATGCAACCTTCTCATTGTCTATCATTTCTGCTTTAATCACCCCATGAAGTCATTAAATGTTCCCAAATGAGGAAAAGACTTATTAAAATAATTGTAAGAGAGAATCAGATTTATGATCACTGAAACTTTTTCAGGAATGAACCATGAATTATTAATTCTAATATTAATATAAACAGATTTCATGGGATTCTAACAAGAAATGTCAAAATTATAAGAGAACAATGAAAGATTAGCATGAAAAAGAGCTTACATGGAAGAGTCTTCAATCATAATCTTAATATGAAATCTTAACGTGGGATTAGGTTTTGCCTTCTCCTTACAACAGATCTAATCATAACCTTAAATCTCTATTTTCCAAAGGAAAACTTTTAGTTCATATTGTTACAGTACTTATAACCTATTTTTCAGTAATAAGGAGATGGCTGAGAAGTGTCACTTGTAGTTTGAATTTTTCACAAATTTATTCAATTTCCTGAATATTTCCCCTCCCACTGGAGACCCCTCTAAGCACTAAGTGAATGGTTCCTTTCTCCTTAGTCAGTACTTAAAAAGACACAAAATCAATCATACACAGGGCTCTCCTGGAACCATTCATCTTTGAATGCCACCACTCTCACTGACCATTTCTGAAACACACCCTGGTATTTAGCTATCTCATCCTCTCCATTTCACTGTAACAACATCAAGCATGTCTGCATGTGTGCAAACAAGCTCTTGAAATCTAATTCTAACATCCCTCTTAACATTGCTAAGTATGCTGCTTTATGAGCGCATATTGAGACATAACAAATTCACGTGAATTATGAAGATACCAGTGGTTCTGGAGGTCTGGGAGGGGATGGAGGGGCTTTTTGTGCATGTCTGTTTTCTAAGTTTTATATCTTCATTTATCTGTTTCAAGAAAGTACTCAGCTTGGCAAAGCATATGGCCATGAGTTTCGTTTAAGCATGTCTGCAATCACATTGCCATCAATATAACCATTTGCTTAAGTGCTTTCCTGAATTCACAGTGCTGCAATCTCATATTATCAATCACCTAGCACATATTTTCTATGCAACTTGAGAGCATGAAAGCACTGAACAAAAAGGTCTCACAAGAGGGTTAACCAGCAGGTTTCCCAGCTGAGTATATTTTAATTTACCTACAAAGGATATCAACAATGGGGCTTTCAGGTCAAGATGTGATATTGAACTCTAAGAAGCAGGAACGGAGAAGGCTCTTCAGTCGGGGACACCAAGGGACCATAAAGAAAACCAAGAATTCTATTAAATCAAGAGCTGGAACAGCATGGTCTCTGCTGTGTCCTGCTTTAGTTTCCAGGAATTAAGAGCCGATTCATTTCTGACAGCCAGTAAGAAGAATTACTAGAAGCTCAGGAGTATAGGTTAGACTAGAGTCTAGGAAAAAAAAAACTAGGAAATCAGGTACTGTTCAAAATGTAGTCATTTAGAAAGAAACATTCATTTATCAGCTTTTACCAGGACCATTTTTAATTAAATCACATATAACTTGAAAAAAACCATGTTAGGCAGTCATAGGTGGCTCCCTAAGAGTAGTGCTAATGAGCAAGTTCTTTTCTACACCTTCACAAGATTTTTATTTTTCCCCCCCAGTGCTCCATTATCAAACATTTACTTTAAGTTACAGTTTGGAGCCCTTAATTCCTACAAGAAGCTGCTTGTAGATCACCAGTTCAGGCAAGAACATAATGATTAACTGCCATGGAAGAACATCTACCAAAGATCCAATGGGAGCATGCTGGCCCTCCTGTATTCCCCACACTGCTGCATTTGCATGGCTGAAAGCACTCTGCAATCTCAGTTCAGCAAGAAGGGAGCTCTTCAGTGCAGCCATGGTCATACAGAAAGAAGGAGGAAGTCTGAGCACTTTTTAGAGGCAGTTGTGGGGAATCCTGTGCTCAAAGACATCCCTCAAGACTGGGAAAAGAAACTAGCTTGATTTACCTTCTGCATGTGATAAGGCAGATGCCTGCAGAGGTCTCCTCCCTTCTCTGAAAGGAGATCTGAAAGATGCAGCCCTTGTTCCTTCAGAATGAGATATGTGCCCTTATCACCATTCTGTGTACTGAAGCACACATGCCTGTTCAGAGCAAAGACCCATATGTCTGTGCCCCACTCCCAGCTCAGTTACTCATTAGCTGAGTGTCAGGTGGTGATTTTCCTACACTCATCTGCATGCTTCATGATTTTTTCCATCTGGATAAGGAAGATGATGATAGTTCTTCAAATGCTTCAAACGGTTTGATTAGCAATGTCTACAGCTTTTTACCTAGAGAACAGAATAGTGTCCAGCCTTTCCAAGAAGCCGCTGAATTGCTATCTCAGGAAACCATACACACCCTGAAAATTCTGGCTGCAGTGCCCCATTGAACAAAGGTCTTATGGACTGTTCCCTGAGGTGCTGGTCCCCAAGCACCTACTCTGGTAGGAGTGTCCCATTGGCATTGCTGCTTGGGCTCCTCTCCCAGGCACGGGGACAAGAGGGCTATGTGCAGGTCCCATCATGACAGTAAAGGTACAGTTGTACTATGGTTTGTATCTAAATATGTCTACATACTATCTGACCATTACAGACTCTGCTTACTTTGAGTAACTGCTTGCCTTCTCTTTAGACAAAACAGGTATCCTAGTTGAGCAAAAGGCAAAAATTGAGCAAAATAATTTGGTAAAATCAACATTTTGGTGACAGTTTGGTGACAGAACAGGTTGCTGGCAGGAGACACAATCTCTTCCTGTTGTAACTCTGCTGCCGTAAATAGGTTTATACCATTGATGAATGTCCTCCCAAGAATTTCAGGACTGTTGGCAAACTAATGAGGCAGATGCACAGAAGCATAAAATCCATCCAAATTCAGCACAGCTCTTAGTGAATTCCTGGGAACCCCTTGATAAAATTCCACCATCAAGTAACAAGCAGATCACATGGATGATATTCCTGCCCCCAAAATCTTCTTTGGCACTGAAATCACAAAAGATTTGTTGTAGCATTCAACTAAAAATACAACCTTCCAAAAATAGAAACACAACTCCTCTTCAAACTTAAAAAGATAAAGGCTTATAAATTCCACTAGAACAGTCCCAGACCACAGAGAGAGCTAAGAGAAAGTATTACTACACTTTTCCAATTACTATATTCATCTGGAGAGAAGACTGGGTGCTTTAAGGATTATTTCTCTATTTCACATAAACAATGAAGAAAATATGTGGTGCTAAAGCAGAGGCTGGAGACTAGGACTCCTTATTTAGAAAACAGTATCTCAGTATCTTAGCCTTTGAGCTCAAATCATTTTGTGTTCTCTCTAGCTTGATTGGCATGGAAATATTAAATGACTATGGCAGTGTTTAAACAAGAGCAAAGGAATATTTAGGTTTATACCTTCCTTTTATTTTTATAGATTGTACCTTATTGTCTTTATCAGATGAATAAATAGAAACTCAGACTTTTGCAGAAAACTACTAAACAAAGTGTTATGAGTTTGGTGGAATTCAACCCAAAAAAGGTTCACTGCACATCTTAATCTTCAGCACTTTGCTAAGACCACAGCAAACACATGGAACAAGTGATGTGGTTCACAGAATAGCTTTGCCTACTGCATCACCAGCCTCCAGGGTTCTACTGGCACCCGTGAGCTCTGTGTGGAGGACTGCAAAGAAAACATTTTCAGAAAGTTCATTAATGCCTATAACAAAGTAAATGCATGCCACACCATAAACATCTTTTTGGTCTTTTAAGCTTCAATAATCACAGTGATGAGCATAGACCGTTGGGAAAATTTTACTGGACCTCTGGACCTGAGAATGAAGGCATACTGTTATTCAGCTTTCCAATTTGTTATAGGTTTCTCTAAAGAACGTAGAAAATTCCTACAGATTAGGAAATATATATGTATATATAAAACAATTTTAAAGATAAACTGAGCAAGAAAACTTCTAATGGAGAAAAACAAATAAATAAATAAAAATGTATACTTGCCCAGAGTCTCATTCAGACACTGAACAATTAATGAAAATTCAACCAAGCAAGTAAAAGAACTGGGAAAGCCTCACAAAATGTATCACAAACATTTATTTCCCCAGTGGGACTTTGGAGACAATGGATTTGAATTCATTCAAAGCAATCTCATTTGCACAAAGTGCCTCACAGTTCAAGACCAGATCACGTGAGCTTAGTCTCAAACAGAAGTAGTTTTCATTTCATAGTAAATGACAGCCAAAAGATTTTGATTTTTTTTTTTTTTATTAACCAGATACAGAAATAAGTTCAACTGAATAATTTAATTTTCATGGAAAACCAGAACATGTTTGAAGTTCATTTTCAAAGTATGTGTAGTTTTTCTAAGAGAAATGCAATTAGACATTGTATAAACTCTATCTTCTCATAGCTAAATTACTTTCTGCGTACCTAAACCATGGGCCTTTATCCTGGTTCAAATAACACTTCTGAGCCAAGGAAGTATGGCAAAGATAACGAACATGGTATAAAACTGAATCCAAATGTTATTTATAAGTTATTATTTCAAGTTATAGCCCAGTAAAAGCCATGATGATGACTGCAATAATAACATTTCCAACTGAACATATACTGTAGAAAGAGGAAGAAATTCCACAGCTCTTAGGGCAATTGAGGAAAATACTTGTGGATCTGTAAAATACACCAATATAACAATCACCACTGAAAGTTTTACTGTAGACAGGGCAGTACATGTTTCTTAGATGGTTGAGATGATCTGATAGCTGTTAAGAACTGAAATCAGAGAAAAAATATTTTAACATTTCCTTTTTTTTTTTTTTATAGTTAGTGAACACAAAAAGCAGAAACTGAGAAGGTGTCCAATGAAGAAGCATCATGAGACTTTGAATCATAATCATCAATGTAAATCACCTGATCATATCTGTAACTGCTGCTCTTCAAGCTAGGAAATGGTAGGTGCTAGTAGAGCCAAATCTTATATGTTGCAAATATTTATTATCTGTCCTTTCAGCTGAGAAAGGAAATACAAGCTTGCTTGGAAAAAATAAAAATAAAAAATTAAAAAATATGGCTATTCATGATTCAAGACATGGAAATATCAAAACGTGTTTTACAGAGTTATTTGATCAAAATCTATTGTCTTTTTTTTTTTTTTTTTTTTTTAATCAAAATGTAATGAGATTGTATTAGGGATATTTGGAAATGTAAAATGTCCTACAAGCACATGATTCGGACCTTTCATTTGTAGCTGACAATGTTAACTTTAGGATATACTTTGCTGCCTATAAATGAGGGTGAAAAACGGTAAGTATTTTTTTCCAGCTAATTGCTAGCTCCTGATTGTACATAAAACTCAAAAGTACACCACCAGTAATTCTCAGATACACATTCTCACGTCTCTGCTCTGTCATCCAAAGGGAATACTGATGGTATTCACAGGCATGTAAGGCCCAATGGTCACCCCTGTGCCATCCTCTCCAACTTCTTTGGGTCCCCCACCTCTCCTCAGATATCTGAATCTGCAGTTTGAGTCACAGAGCAGAACCAACCTAACCCAGCTTAGATGCTTTTTTCAAGAAATGCTGACTTTGGAAAAAGAAGGCATTATTGAAAGTGGAAACTTGGCAGCATGTTAGATCAGATTTATTCATGAGACATGTCACAAGCTGACAGACTGAGCCCATTGTAGTTGCTTGTTCTGGAGTCATTACTGGGACTGGCTGTTAGTTTTACTCTCTAGTCTTCGTTTTCTCAAGTTCTTCAGCCTTGTGTAATTTTATTTATTTATTTATTTATTTATTCCTTCCTATCTCAAATGTACCTGCAGAAAGAAAGCTTCACTTCTGTTAACAGATCTGGAGACACTGGAAACACTTTCTGAACAAGGACATGTCAAGGTTAACATTCAAAGTACAGCTTATTACTTTGAATAAAAAATATATGGCTTCATATGAAATCTATTGGTGAGAAAATCATGGACTAGTTTCACAAAAATAAAAATGCATGTATCATGTATTAAATCTCTTCAAAAAGATAGGCCTTCTCCCTCTTCTAAATCTCTACAAAAGAGGTGAAACTGCCTCTTAAACCTCCTGATGTTTTTGATGTCATGATGTTTTTCTCTCTAGAATATGGCAAATACACATATGTGTTTAAATAAAGTATGTATAGCCTAGCAAGTAAAACAAAGGCAAAAATTAGTCTGGATTTAAGAACTCTGATCAACCCATTCTGCATTTTGGCAATCAAAATGCACATTAATGTAAAATAAATACTTATATGACTACCTATTTGTGGCACTTTGAAGATGCATATGCACAAACCACTAGGAAGCCCAAGAATCTACAAACTCTTAAAATTTTTCAGTCATTTGTTAGGCAGATGCAAAATAGCAATTTTTATAGTTTTCTAATGCAATCTGAAAACAAACAAACAGCAAAAACAAAGGCAAAAAGATGGGGACTTTTTCTGACCTTCTTAGATTATGAATTTGCACATGAAAAGTTTTTCTGCAAGTATGAAGGCCAGAAACTTTGGTTATTCTCTTTAAATGGATGTTGGTACTTTAACTTAATTTAAAGTAAGTAAATAAATAAATAAAAACATACACAATAATGATTAAATAAAGAAGATGCAATACGGACAATAACCTAACAGCAAAAATCAGTAAATAACACTCCAAACACACTTTAATAAGTTCTAACTTAATTGTTTGTAATTCCTAACCTATTATATTTTTTCAGGTCTTTATCGAATAAAAGCTGAAATGACAGATTGTCTCCCTGCTTTCAGAGTTCGGAAAAAATAATTCTGAAAACAACTGCTTAATGAAATCACTGTTCTGACCCTTTGCGTTTTTATTTTTTTTTTGTTAAAGCTTGTCTGCTGACTTTCCTTGCCCTTGTTGCAGATGGTCCTCCAGCCAGCGCCTGTGCTTCTTGCTGCTACTGAGCAGGAAACAAAGCAAACCCACCATTATTATATACTGATTCCTAGCCAGCTTTTTTACTTATTTAGACATTTTATTAGTTTATTAGTCAGCTTTGGGTTTTTTGTTTTCTTTTTTTTTTTTTTTTTTAATAAAAATAATAGAAGTTCATAATAATAACAAAAAAAGATTAAATGCTTAGGAGCTTTATTTAAAAAGGTGAAAAATTAATATTCCACATATTTATAAAAATAACTGAAAAATGTGCATTACATCAGTGCCAAGAATCTCATTGCCTTCAGCCTCTGTTTCTATATGGCATTTAGTAAGCACTCAGTGGTCAGGCTGGTCTGCAGAAGTGACACGAGGGCTCATGCAGAGAGGATGGATCAGCTCATACTCACATCGTTCAGGATACAGGAAACTTCAAAGTTCAAAGTGCTTATGATCTCTATTAGCATAGTTCCATTTGTGTCTTTTAACCTGCACAATAACCTCTAAGCTGCAGCCTTGCACCTAGTGGTAATTTTTTTGTCTCTGTGATGAAGGATTAAAATCCTGAAATGAATAATCCATCAGATGCTTTTGCTTTATGCATGAATCTTTACAAACCTTTAAAGATTCTGTTTAAACCAGTTCCAAGGTGATCTCTCTGATCACAACAGCTGAAAGTTTCCCACTCCTTCCCCACCCCTCCCCCCCCCTTTTTTTTTAAAGCCTAACACCTGATATTTTACAGTTGCTTGTAATCTCATGTGGGAGTCTGAATGAAAACATCAAATAGTGCAAGATTTTAAACAAAGGTCTGGGGTCTGGAAACAGCACAGCAAAAATGATGGGATTGAGTATTTTCCTTGGTTTGACTTGTTCTCCTGCACCTGCCTTTCCATTCTCTCTCCATGTCTTACCTGCAGTTTTCTCTTTCAAGAGGCACTGTGTACTGCTGGTCATGTGGGACACAGAAGTGCACAGTTCTCCCCACATCACAACTCTGTTCAGGCCCTCATGTGCGGCAAAGGGTCACTTAAGTGCCAAGATCGTTTAGCTGGAGGCTGGACCAAAGGCTTTGTTCCCCAGCAGCCTTCAAAGAGGAGAGTATTGGCTGTTGTAGTTTTTGCTGGCCCAGATGGACTCACCAAGATATTTTCCTCCCAGATTGATTACATTAATGGCAAGAGCTTGAGTCAAGGAATTCAATGTTAAAGCGATTTGCTACACCAGCAACATAGTTTGGGCTCAGGATTTTGCGAAGGTGTTTCAAGGAGAGTAGATTGTAAGAGAGCACAGCACGTCTTAGAATGGAAATAAAGTGGCCACGAGATCGGATGCTTGTGCTGGGAGATTTGTCATGTGGAGAGCGTAAACAAATCTTAAGAACGAGGTGAAAAACAACTTATATTAATGGGACAGATCAATGCAAAACATTATGGCATCGAGCCTTGCAGTGACAATGATATTAAAGAACCTCAGATGAGCTGCAAGATACATGAGTCTCCTGGTTAATGAATGATGGTGTTAATACCTCAAGGTGTAGAGGGCATGGGTGTATGTGTTTTTCCTGAATGTGTACAAAAACTGTACCAGCTGATTTTGGAGCCACTTCTAATAATGTCCACTTCTTGTACCATGACGGGCTTTTTGTTTTGTTTGCTGTACCCAGGATGTCACCAGAGTGATGAGAAATAAACATTACCAAGAGGGAACAGCAGCCCAGGAAATGCTTTGCACCATCCACCTTTTTGCTGTTTCTGCCTTTGGATTCTTTTAGTGCTCCGGGAAGGATAAATGCACTTATGGAGATTAGAGGGGAAGATCCAATACTTTCAAGTGAATGGACAGAGAGAAGGAAAAAAGTTGTTACTCTTACAGTAAATTATTTGATGCTTTCTTCATTTCTTATGACTTTTGAAGTAACACTTGGTATAGAAGCTATAGCCACTCTTTCTGCATGTACATGTTAGTACATGACAAAATAAAACATATCAACTATTTAATGTCTTCATTTATTAGCACTGGCTCAGGAAGATAAATACTCAGTCTTAGTTTTTTGTTGTTGTTGTTGTTTGTTTGTTTTATTCATTGATGCTCTTGAAACAATTCCTTTGTGATAAAAAGAATTCAATTTGAAAGTATTTTATTGAAGTGATTCCTTCAATGATTCCTGTCCTTCTCAGCTGCAGACATCTTGAGGAAAACATAATGACTGATTATTATTGATCAAACAAACATCACAATCTGTAAGTTCCTGTACTATGAACTTAAAGTCCCTGGACCCAAATGGTCACAATCAAGTTTGTATATGTGGTGGGCAAAACTTCACAGGCTCCTAGGCACACACCAGTCCCCTCTTCCTCCCCCTCCTCAACAGGATAAGGAGAAAATACGAAAAAAAAAAAAGCTCATAGGGTGAGCCAAAGACAGGCAGATCACCTGTGCCACTCCTTCCTCCTCACATGGTTCTATTCCAGCGTGGAGTCCCTCCCATGGGATGTGGTCTTTCACAAACTGCTTCAGCATGGATCATTTCCATGGGCTGCAGACCCTGGGCATATTCTCCTGCTCCTGCATGGAGTCCTCCATGGGCTACAGTGTGGATATCTGCTCCAAGGGCTGCAGAGGGTGAGCCTACTCTGCCATGGTCCCCTCCATGGACTACAGGGGAACCTCTCCTTCAGCACCTGGAGCAACTCCTGCCCCTCTTTCTTAGTGTTGGTTCCCTCATATTTTTTCCTCACTCCTCTCTCTCAGAGCTGCACCACCATGTTTTTGTTGTTGTTTTTACCCTTTCCTAGATACATTACTACAGAGGCACCACCCAGGTTGCTGATGGGCTCAGCCATGTGCTGTGGCAGTTCGGCTGGAAGCGGCTGTCTCTGGCAGTGGCAGCCCCTGATCTCTCCTCACGGAAAACAATCCTGATGCCCCCAGTACAAAAACCTGGCCACAATCCTCATTTCCTCGACCCTTGGGAAGGGACACAGTGGGGAAGACCTCACTGAGGCAGCCAACACCTGTTGGAAGCTGTGATTTCTAAGTCTGAATGAGTTCCTGATGAATTATTATCTTGGGGATTCAGTAAAATCCTTTCCCCCTGGCCAAAATAAAAGTAGTTCAGCTAACATGCTGTGCTCTGACAAGCCCTCACAAAGCCAAGAAAACCGAATGATGAATTTCCTCAAATAAACATGGTAATACCAAAAATGATGAAAATAAGTTCTTGGAAGCTTTTGTCGGTGCCTAATGTTTCCCACCTCAGTTGGGTAGGCCCCAAGTGGTAGCACATAACCTGACAGGGGATGGGTCGAAGGCTTAGTAACCTGCACCTCCCCTTTCTGAAGCAATTTTCTTATATTTGCTTGCTTACGCAGCTGGTCATCACTAGCTCAAGATTGTACTTTGTTCCTTTGGACAAAAATATTCATCAAAACAGTGAATTCATACTTAAATGATCTATTTTTTTTCCTTGCATTTCCAATTTCCATACTTTACAGGCAAATTTCAGCAAATTCAGTCCACTGATCTTCCTATGAGATGTTAGCTACTTGGCTGTTCTACTACAAAATTTTAAAGCAGAGAAGCAGCCTTTAAATGATTTTTAAGCACAGTCAGTAGAGATTACTACAACTTCTAACAGCAGTTTATTCCCATCAAATTTAATTGTAAACACACTTTACTAATCCTTTTAGTTTGTATGCTGCACTCTTGGGATACAGAAAGTCGTTAACATGAAACACTATTATAGTAAATATATGACATTTCTTTTAGTGAAATAAAAACTCAGAGACCAATATTTATTAGTTAACCTTGAAACTTCAAGTTTAATTTTGTGACTTCAGCATTGGGGAACACAAAGTTCTGGCTGACATTTTGCAAGTACCATAGTATTTTATGGATAACAACTGGAAGCATTGTTTCATGCTAAAATAATAATCTGAAAGCATTTACTTTGCATACTTTGCATATAGTTAAACACTTTTAATCAGTAGTGACTACAATTGGCAGAGTTAAAATTAAGAAGGTAGAACTTATTATGGGTAATATTATGACTCAAAGTCCGTGCAGGTAACGTATTCTTTATGTTGCAATAAGCAATATCTTTATGTTACATATATTTATGCTGCATATTATTTAAAAACAAACAAAACAAAACAAAACAACAACAACAACAACAACAACAAAAAAAAAAACACGAGCAAACGGGAAGCCAGACAGAGATTCTACTTCGGTGGACCTTTTAGCATTTAGTTTTTATATATACATATATATAAGGCAGCAAAACTTGGAACACACTACAGTTCAGCTGTGCATATCCATTTCTTTTTCTTTCATCCAAAATACAAGCAAGAATGAAATACATCCATTCTGTTTCACAATCTTATTTCATCTGTTTTGTTATGTACAAAAGTTACATAATTGTGTCTTTCCACTGAAAGGCAGAAAGTGCTGAGACTTAACTCAATACTGAATTTCAAAGAAAGGGTGGTAAGATCCCAATAGCAGGACAGAGTAGGCCCTCTACCAGAAAAGTGGTGAGACTGAGTGCCCCAGCAGTTCTGTTTGCATTTGAAAGATGCTCCATTGGAATGCTGTCCTGAGTGGTGATACAATTCTACACATTTGTCTCAGTTGGCTTTAGCAGTGCTTGACTTTATTGTCTGGGAAAAAATGCCCTGGACAGACATGACCCATGCAGATGGAAAGCCTGGCTCTCTGAAGTTGGTGAGAAGCTTAGTCAACAACTTCAGAGGCATGGAATTGGACTTGTACACATAATGGCCCTGTGCTGCCTTGCCTACAGCTCAAATCTAACTTGTCAGAAGAAGAAATGGTGTTGGCAAACAGAGGTAGGAAATGAAAAAGTTGTCAGACAAAACCGACAACAATAGGGTCACATAGAGACTACAGAAACATTTGTTGCTTTTCCTTCCTTCAAATCACAGGCTGTGAGTAAGCTATTAGGAAGAGTAGAAACCAGCACAAAACAAAACCCAACATTTCTTCACAGTCAGGAGCAGCGTGATTTCCTTTACAGTAATTTCTGTGCTTAAAAGCTCTACCGCACCTCCTGCACAATATTTACTCTCTATTAAACAGTACTTTCTAAAAGTGACTGTCAGTTAATGGTTATATGTCCTGCTGAACTATCCTCTAAATATGGTATTGGATCTGAGAGCTGAATCCCCAAAGGCTTAAGAGCATATTGCTAACATAAGTTGTGAAGTTGTGAATATTATCCATTATGCCAAAAACAGCATCCTACCTGGGTGGTGCTGTTGTAGCTCAGCACATGAGCTGATGGAATTGTTCCAACTGGTGAACATTGGTGGTCAGCCCGGGACTTTAATTTCAGTAAAAATGTCGTGGTTTAACCCGGCCGGCAGCTAAACACCACACAGCCGTTCGCTCACCCTCCCCCCTCCCTCTCTGGGACGGGGGAGAGAAATGGCAAGTGAACCCCGTGAGTTGAGATAAAGACAGTTTAATAAGACAGGAAAATAATAATAATAATAATAATAATAATAATAATAATAATAGTACTACTAATAATAATGAGTACAAACAAGTGATGCACAATGCAATTACTCACTACCTGCTGACCGATGCCCAGCCTAACCCCGAGCAGTCCGGCCCCCCTCTCCCCGCTAGCCACCCCTATATATTGTTTAGCATGACGTCAGATGGTATGGAATACCCCTTTGGCTAGTTTGGGTCACCTGTCTTGGGTCTGTCCCCTCCCAGCTCTTACTGCACCCCCAGCCTGCCCGTTGGCAGGACAGGGCAAGAAGCTGAGACGTCCTTGGCTTAGTATAAGCATTGTTCTGCAGCAATTAAAACATCGGGGTGTTATCAGCACTCTTCTCATCCTAAGCCAAAACATAGCATTCTACCAACTACTAGGAAGAAAATTAACTCTGTTCTAACTGAAACCAGGACATCTATGATCAATATAACCATGATGCACAATGTTTCTCTAAAACATTCTGAAAGAAAAAAAATAAATGGGATGTTGGCATTAGACTGGTTCAAGTCCACTTGAGCCTTTCAATTGCCTTCCTTCCTTTCAGGTGTTTTAAAGAAAATATATCTGTATATTCTCATTTATTTTCCAAATGTTGAATGCTTAAGTTTTCTTCACGTTGTGAATCTATCTAGATCTTGGAATCTGCTATGTCTTTAATTGCTGCTTGTCTGCAAGGTGTGAGGAGCAAAACAGCCACATGCTTGTCACAGGAAGATACTGCTGCATAGACAAACCTGTCCTCTGCTGTCACCAGGACAGCAGTTATGCCTAATTTCTCAGTTTCTATGAGGCCTGAACCAGGATTTAAAAAAAAAAAAAAATAGATTTTCACCTGCAGGGCTTCAGTTAAGACCTTTTTTGAACTGACTCTGGTTCTGAGTAGGGTCCAGATCTATTAGATCCATCAGAAAGATTTCTCTGCTTCTAACTGTGCTCTGTCTAAATGTGCTATGATATAATTCTGCATATTTAATGCAGTAGTCATGGGTCTGTTTATTTTAGTGTGAGCATTTCTAACTTTTGGTTGATTCATGACCCCTTTAATTAGGCTTTTCTTTACCAGCTTTCTTTAAGAGCAGGAAAAATTGTGTTTATTTCATAATCTCCTTTCAGCTGCAAATAGTGTATATTAGCAAAACACAATTCTCTTCCTTACATCTTCTAGGATTCCAACCAGTCTACTCCTACGCTGCAAACCCAGTTCCCTGTGAGAAACCATCTCCAGTTACAGGATGTGCACCAACATCCGTCCTGCAGCTTTCAGTCTGGGCCAACTCCTTAAAATGAATGTGCACCTCTGTGGAATACCCCCACTGAAATAAACTAGCTTACTCTGATGTATACCAGTACAAAGAATGACAAACAAGTTTGTTCTTCTAGTGTGCACTGATATGTGCTGCTGGAATGCCAAAGAATTTTTTTAAGCAACACGTGTAGACCCACAGTAGTCTTCATCCTACTGAATAACAACTAGTCTGTCATCTAGAATTAACGTGAGAAGGGGGAATACCTAAACTTTGGAAAGGGCCAAATTAAAATATTAGTAGTTAAAAATGAGACAATGATTACCTCAAGTGATTATTCAGAAACAGTTAGCTAGCATTACATACCTGCTTAGCAGCAAATGATGTTAGCAAATATAAACCATTTTCATATGCATCTGTTAGAAAGAAAGAATACAATCAAGTGTCCACTGTTTAGTTGTTCAGTTAATATATTATAAAATTTTCGATTGAAGAAGAGTGCCCATATGCTCTACTCAAACATACACGTTTTATATCTCTCACTGTATATGGAGTATAACTGCATTTGTGCAATAAATGTTTTTAGACATAACATTTTTGTTGGACTGTGTGCTATTTAAATGAGAACAAATTTTAGAGGTAAAAAATACAAGAAGGCAAACAAACTGCTTCAGGAAGATCAAGGAAGATAAGATCAGCAAGACAAAACTGTTTCTTGCTGAAGGAAGCACAGGAGTCATTTCCCATCTCCATATCTATTCACTGTCCAATTATGCATGATAATGATAGATGTTGATGCTTCTTTGAAATCACTGTTGTATATTTTACCAGTCCTCTTATTCAACACTAAATGAACTCGAATGAACTAATAAAAGCAATGCTGATGATAATGGGCATTGCAGGTTCTGCTTTTCTGCTCTACAGCAAGCAGATCACTAAGATCTTGGTTAAGGAGTAAGTGACAGTAAAAACAGTAGGTATGGCTGTCATTCCTAAGAGGGGAACTAGAAAGAAGGAAGATGAGAAAAACCTGCGGAGAATACTGTAAAACATACTTCTTGCAAGTTGTCCTGAAGGTGTTACGCATCCTGGAGTACATAATTTATTATCCCTCTCTTCTGCAGGGCAGCACTCAGGACTTGGAAAAAGAGACCAAAGCACTAATGACTGATGTCAGGGAGCACTTCCAATCTTTACTAAATGTATTGAACAATACCTTGGCAAATTGGCTAAGACTGCAAGCAACATGATAACCCTGCATCTGCATTTTTAAAGGCTTTCAAAGTCCTATCGAAAGGTGTGCCGTGGCAAGATAAGCGCATAGTTTTTGAAAAGGAGACTCGGATTCATTAGACATGTGCCACACAAATAGCACTACTCGGCTAGACTTGAAGCTCTAATTGGAATCTACGTGCTGTTTCAATTTTTATTTTTCCACTTATCTAGTTTTACAGCTCTCTACAATATAGTCTTTGGCCAGCACAGACCTACTTTTAAGCAATTATTTTCCTTTATTCCTAAAGGAAATACAATATCTGATGGTGGAAAATGTGTAAAGTACATAAATTCCTGACTCTTATTCCAGAGTCATATTACACTGTTCCATTTCCTCATTTCTTGTAACAATTATGGACAACTATGGCTTCAAATTCCAAGGTCAGTTTTGTTCCTTTAAGAGCATTTAGGAAATGTAGAACATGTTTCCTTCAAGTGATCCAAATCCCAGAGCAGCCACTTTTCAGGCATAAAAGCTCCCATGCAAGGGGGGAGGATTACAACAGAGCTAGTATACAAACAAAGACTATTATTTGTTTGATGAAGAGCAAAAGGTATTCTTTTCATGTCCATTTTGCTCGGAAGGTACTTTTTTTCACACTGTCTGGCTTGTGTGATGCCCCAGATGTTCTCTACATGTGCATTGCAAAGGTCTATCCATTAACAACCATTAAAAATCTAAAACTCACTCTTGTTCCTTTCTCATCCTGATTCCTTGAATATGGGTAAAATGCACCCAGCTGCATCCAACAAAGACACAGCTTGTACTTTGACTCATTAAAGAAGCCACAGATATCAGTTCCTGTCTGAAAATTGACAGATAATCGAGTTGGAATACTATAAATTCTTGTACAGTGTCAAGATAATTAAATATAAGTTAATAACTCATTAACTTACATAAGATAATGTAGAGACTGAAGTCCATCATACCTGAAGGAAAAAATAAATCAATGTTACCAGCTGTTTTTCTTCCCACTTTGGTATGTCAATAGTTGAAAAGATAATGCAGAACAAGAAGGAGAAGAAAAAAAAAAAGGTGTTTCACAATTTCTCTAAATATCTCATATTTTGTGGTATGTAAAGAATTGAGAGCTGGATGTCAGATGTACACAAAGACGTTCAGCGGGAACCAAAAGCTCACCTGAAAAAAAATAAAGAAATAAAAAAAAAAAAATTAAAAAAAGCCATGGAACTATGATCATGTCAGAAACACAAAGAAAAGAATTCAAGAAGTGTTTGGACAATGGTCTCAGATGTGGTTTGATTTTCAAGTTTTTCTCTGTGGAGACAAGTGTTGGATTCGACGATCCATGTGGATACATTCAAACACAGAATATTCTATAATTTTATGATTCTGTGATTTGATGAGAAGTGACTAAAGTGACCAACATGGGCTTGTCTAGAAGAACACATATTAAAGCAGTTGTTTTCATCTCACACCAGGTAAAGGGCCACACAGCTCAAGGAAGACCAGTTTGGATGACTGCCTTGGCGATAGGTGACGTCTCTGCAAATGAGCTGGAAGGAAAAACAATTCACCAGCTAGGTCCATTCCACAAATAATGTGTTATTTGATTCATATGTTATATGATTCATTTTTTTAAATAAAGCCTTGGCAATTGCCACAAAATACCCCAAAGGTAACCAAACAGGCTTTATTACAAAAAGTTGTGGAGCAGAGAGGAATTTATGTTTCATAATTGTCCCTCAGAGGACACTCATATCTTGCCACTGCTGGACTATGCTGTGTGCCTAGTGTGGATGCATAACTGCCTTGGTTTCTTCGAAGAATCCCTTTGCAGGCATGCACTCATACTGTGAATCATTACAGCAGAAAACTGAACTGCAGTACTAGTTAGAAAGCTGCACTGATTGAATTGCACTGCTCTCCAATGCTAACTCCACAATAATTGCCTAAACAGCTGCTTCAATAAGGCACTATTTATTTATTTTTTGACAGGATTTGCAGCTTTAGTGATGCTATAATTACAACAAAAATACACAAGTCACTTAAATTGCCAGAGTAATTAAACTAGACTAATGTGCTGTAATTATTTCTTCCAAGACAAACAGTAAGTTTTCTAGTACCTTTTCTTTCTTTGTAATGTATTACCAAATATTTTCAGCCTCTGCTTCGTTTACCCTCCTTCAACAATCTTTGGAAGGTCCTGCTAAAATTTGAAATCCAAAGAAGGTGTACGTTGCCCACAGAACTGCCCAGGGCCTGAGTGTTTTCCTGACCTGGGGTGCCAGTTCTCTGCTTCAGGACTGAGCCAAAGCCAGATTCTTGAAAAGCAATTCCTCGTGTCAGCAAGCCCTCTAAACATTTACCTCAAAATGGTTCCTAGATTCACTCTTAAAGGTTCTGGCTATCGCATCTGTGCAAAAGCCTTGTTACAAAAGAATAGCCTTGAGCCGATACAAAGAAGGTTCCTCTTTCTAATTCATACAGAACAGAAATTGTATCAAATTGGGGAAAAAAAAATATCACTGCTTACTTTTCCATTACACTGGCTTTTATTTTTTATTTTTTTTTTCTCCATATTGTAGCTTTTGCGTGCAAACAATCTTCTTGTTTGGATGGATTAGTCTTAAAATAAGTTATTACTACACATCTTCTGTATCACAATGACTCCTTTAGTAAGGAGTATTAGAGAGAGATCTAATTAGAGAGATCTCTTAGTTGTCACCTCTCTCTCTTATTTATTTTTTTTTAAACAACAGTTTTCTGTTTGTTTCAACTGTGAGAATATCTGTATAGGCTGTGTAATTTATCGTACTCATTTCTGTTACAGTACCTCTCAACAGAGAAGAAAATATTTCACTACATTTCAGTTCACACCTGATGTGCAGGAATGACAGCAAAATTGCTCCCAGTGTTAAATTATTGCCTATTTACAATATCCAAATTGCATGTGATTTGGCTGACAGCAGAGGTATCAGTTTCCTTCCTGTCCTGCCAGCAGGCTCATGTGTTGCTTGACCGACAGCACTGCCATGCATGCTGCTGGCAGTAGCATCCATCCAGTCAAAAAATCAAGTAGCCTTGGTATTTTCTTGTCTAATGGCAACATCAAAGTTACCAAGGACTTTAAGATTATTAAGACCTATAACAAAACACTGTGCCTTGCTTACTCATTGAATTGGAAACGAAACAGCACAAATATACTATCATTAGATCAGACGTTATCTAAAGTCAGCTGGGATCCTATTCACTAAGGAACAGGTAATGACATCTGCCTTGGAAGTGAAAAAATAAATTCCTAAAAGGAAAGCTTTATGAACAGAATGTGTGTTTTAAATGTCACTGTTTTCTCTTTTCACCCATACTCAAGTATTTTTGAATACCCAAGATTATAGAGCCCTTCTTAAATTAATGTTCTTAAAATAAATATATTCATTTTCTCTCATTACATGTGTAAGGCTAAAACAATATCAATGCTAGAAATAAAAGAGGCTATCCTAGCACTAGCTAGAAACAAAAGGTGTTTTATATTTTAATTGCAGTAATTAGGTGAGACTGTCATTGAGTAATTACTGTTAACAACAGCTGATCCAAATGCTCAGACCTGTTCTCTGTTCTGCCTTGTAACAGAATAGCAGAGCTATGCCTTTTGATTGACTGCTCCCATTTACAATGCTGAGCATCGCCCCAGGATGGCCTTGCACGCTGACACTGTAATAGAAACCTCTGCTGAAAAGTCAACATGTTATGTGTGAACATACTGGGACAGGGCAACGATTGGTGGCGAGTTATTACATCCCAATTAAACTGTACTGAGAAATAGCACCGTGACCAACTTATTTCATAATACAGGTCAGTAGTTGGGCTTGCACAATGTAAAATGTGTATGGATGAAACCCTTAGAACTGCTATACAAAGACTTGCTCTGCAGCTAGGTGAAGAGTAGCTTTCTTTAATATCAGACTTGGGTAAACTGCCGTTAAAAGGTACCTTGAAAATTGCATCTGCTCAGGGTCAGTGAAATAAAGGCTTTGCCTGTCCTGAGACAGTGAGTGATGCAGCTGCTGGTGTTAGACATGCTTCAGCTAGTTCTTTCCTGCTTGGCTCCAGCAGCAGAATGCCTTTATTGCACTGCAACAGCGGAAGCACAGCTTCAGCTCAGACCTGCACACACCCACCGTGCCTTCTCCTGCACGTCCTTGCTCAGGTTCCTCCCACCTTGCTTGTACCACGGGTGAGATCAGCAGGAACGAGCTGAGCAGGAACGTGACTAAAATACTGCCAGCAGCAAAACCTGGAGCATTGGTGAACACCAATGAACGCTCTGAACACCAAACTCCACTTTGAACAGAATGGCAGAATCAACACTACTGGATGGAAAGGAAGACTTCGCCGCCATCTTAAAGGGACTCAGGCAGGTTTGGGCCAATAGTTATGGACACCAACCGTTCTTGGCAACACATTTTGGAGATAGCAAGAAACTATGCAAATCTCACTTACTCGAGGGTAGGTTTTGTTTGTGACCATCCGTAAAGACTGTGGACATCATAGTGTCTAACCGGGGTACCATCCGGAAGACGCTGCTCACCTTCCATGCACGGAGTTTTGACAATTAAACCGTCTGACCGATATCCCAAATCTAGTAATAAGTGAAGAAGACTTTTTTTTTTTCTTTTTAATGAGAAATATTCTATAACAAATGTTGTTAATTTTTGTTAATTTTCAGTGATTTCTTTTGTGTTCACTCTCTTTTGGGCATCTATACTGTCATCTGTGACTTCTTATGAAAGAACATTTCCATCTTTATCAATAGTCCTGTGCAGGCATCTTTCAGTTTCCTGCTATAATTCAACAGAAACACTCAGAGTAGGTATTCTGAGATTAGATGAGCTGATGTAGGTAAATGCATTAGCCTTCCACCTCTGCATACTTGTCATTAATCTTGCCTAGTTGTTCCAATGAAGCTATGCCTGCTCCTCACATCTAAGCAGCTAATGAATATTTATTCACCTGTCATTATCAAACTCAAAGCACCTTTCAACTTGAGCAAGTGTTTAAAACATACACAGTCCATAACGCAATCAGAGTTTGATTTCACATGAAAAGATATTTCCAAATATTAAAAATTGTAAAAATCTTCCTAAGAATGCAACATATTCAAGGAACTTCATGCACCAATTCGTCTATTGCTGTTTCAGGAACAGCTAACAGACAATTTTAGTCTTCACACCATCAATATATTATCAAAAAAAAAAAATCAGCTAAAAGTTCTCCTGACTTAAAATATACATTTTATTAGTTCTCCACAGGGTACTATAAAGTAAACCAATACTGTTTTCTTAACACTGGTAAATATTGCCCTTTTCCTAAATTCCCCCCACTTCCCCCCCACCGCCCCCAAAAAAATAAATTAAAATAAAAAAATCATTCAACATGTCTAAAATGTGGAGATTTTTTTTTTACTCATGTCTTCTTAAATGTAGATTTATGGTTCAGTTAATCGTTCAAAATATTTAAAGTAAGTGTTTCATGCAGAAAATGACTGTAATGTTAATAATGTATGTCATGGAACCATAAGAGAGAAAATAACATACCACCAGGAAAAAGAAATACAAAAATTGACTACAACAACATTTGCTTTTTTTTTTCTCCATATGAGAAAATGTAAATGTGAGCAAATTGTAAACTGTTTCTCTGAAAAAAACTGCAACCTGTAAGTTTTGGCCAGGAAATAGAATCACAAGATGTTTTATTGTTTTGTTTCTCAACAGAAGAGAGTACAGTAACAGCTTCATTATTTTAGATCCTGACAAAGCAGTACATACGGCTGTCATATCAGCAGCCACCCAAGGCCTTCAATATTTACTGCTGCAATAATCAGCCAAATCACAGCTCTATTTCTTAAAAGCATCCCAAACTTTCACAAAAATTTAAAGAAAACTAGATGCTTCCAAGTTTTATTTTTTTTCTGAGATACAATTGGCACAGTTAAAATAATAGAAGGGAGTCCAACAATTCCAATGCATGAAGTTTTTCTCATTCCATCAGATTTTCTAGGATTGCCATCACATTACCTGTGGAGCACAAATAGGTTACTTTCTGGCATTTTCTGTAGCTTTCTTCCTAACAGACTGCAGAAAATGCTCCACCAGCACCTTCTTTTGCAGCATTAGTTTGCAGAAACCCTTCAAACTAGAGATTTCTGAGCGAAGATTTCTGATGAATGTGTCCCAGTAGGAAATACCTGACCAAGGTTTGCTACTTCAAGGAGATACACGAGTGAATCTGAAGGCTCTGACAGAGGTGCTCTGGTCAATAGAGCCAAGCTGTTCCCTAGCCTTGCTCCCTCCAGCTGTCCATCCTGACCTTCTCCCAGGGTGGAACCTCACAGTGTCAGTTGAGGCAGGGGAAACAAAGCATAATCACATCTTCTCTCCTGCTGCTTTTGTTACAGTGACTGCCAGCACAGCACAAAGCATTTATGAATTTAGGAAAAGTGCATGCAGTTCTGAACCCCAACAGATGCTTGCTTTCATGCAAGTGGACTCAGAGCCTTGGGCTTCAGACGAGTGGAAAAACAGATTATTGTACCAAGGATAAAGGTAGCATTTAGTAACTGGAGGAGAAACCAGAAAAAAAAAAAAAAAAGGACTGCCAAAGTACCTACAAGAAGGAAATTTTTTTCTATCAGAAGACAGAGGCAAGACTGGACCAATGCACGTACCACCTACAGATGAACAGTACTCAGGCTAATTCACATGGGAAAATATCAAACTGCCTCTGTGAGCAACCATGTGCAGAACCAGGGCCTAATCTTCGGGAATACGAATTGAACATGACCAAAATATATATTTTTGTATTACTCTGTAGTATTACTCTGACTTCATTTTTAGCTGTGCTGTAGTTCTTGTAGTTCTTGCTGTAGTTCTTGCTATGTTCACACCTACATGTTATTCCAGTACAGCTACAGAAAGCTCATGTACTTGTCTCTTGGACAGCTGTCTATGGACGCAATAGGACATGAAAGAGGGAAGATTGGGTCTGCCTGAACTGTAGAAGTATCAACTGGCCTCCACCATAAACCATAATCCGTAGCACTGAATGATATGGTTTCTTGCAAAGAAAACAATAAAATCTGTCAAATAACACTCCTTGAAATGTTAACACAATGAACAGTGTTCTATAAAAGAACTTCAAAACAAGTGTTTCAGAATTAATGTTCGAAGTGCTTGCTGACTTCTCTCAAAATATACATAATAAAGGACAAAGGCTGCAAAAGCAGTCTAAAGGGCTGAAGTACTCCAAATCCTTTTATTTTAATGGAAAAGGAATGCCTACCTAAATTCTCAGAAATACCATAGAAAATCCCATGGTTCAAGGTATTCCATTTTTCAAAACTTCCTTCCCTTCAAGATAAAAATGAAAAAACTTTCTACTTTTTCCAAGGTTCTTCCACGTTCTACAACTAACACTGATTTCCTTAGACATGCATGTATTCCAAATGTATTAA